TGGCCCTGTTTCCCCGTCTTTGGGGGTACTAACAGCAGCGCAAAAGGCACTTTTCAGTGCCAATTTCTTTTTCTTCCCCTTCTACTTCGCTTTAGCTCCGCTATGAGCATGGAAGAGGGACCCAGCAGACATTCTTTGGTTCATCCAGATGCTCGGCTGGTTGAAATCTTTACCATACGAGATCAGCTAGAACTCTATATGGAAGATAACCCGAACTCGAAATTCGGGACCAAAACCCACTCCAGGAGTATCCTGGAATTCTTTGATAAAGTGATTGATATATATAAAAGAACTAAGAAGCCTATGGACACAGAACTGTCAGCTATTTCCTCTAAACTGGATCATCTTATAGAGAAAACCAGTGCCGCGCCGCCTATTCCGACCTACGCAGCAGTAGCGAAGGCGGGCCCTATAATCAATAGGACAGGTGGCAACGGCCCTGTTATCCTTATTAATAGTAAAGACAACGGCGAAAACGCCGAAACCATTAAAGAACGGATAAAACAACACTTGGATCCAAAAAAGTTAAAAATAGGCATAACTAAGGTCAGAAAGGTTAGGAATAACACTCTCCTTCTTGAACTGGAAAAGCAAGGAAGTGAAAAAGAAATAATTAATGAAATTCAAAAAATAGAAAACCTAACGGCCAGAGAGCCAAAAAAGTCTCTCCCAAAAGTGGGAATATATAACGTCCCTGCTGAAATAAGCAAGGAATCCATGATAGAGGCCATTTATCAACAAAACAGCAAGATATCTGAACAGCTTGGTGAGTATGAGGAATATAAAAAACAGATACAGGTCAAATATAAATGGGGCAAGAGACCTGAAGAAAAACACTGGGTGTGTGAGGTCACCCCAAAACTTAAACGTATAATGACCAAGCAAAAGAAAATATACATCGACTGGGTGAGATGTAACGTTGAGGAGTATTTCAACATCATTCAATGTTACAGATGTTGCAAGTACGGGCACTTCGCGAAGGAGTGCTCCAGTGAAAGGGCATATTGCAACCACTGTGGAGGGGACCACAGATACTCCGAATGTAAAAATAAAAACACCTCGCCCAGCTGTATAAACTGTGTGAGAAATAAAGCCCCCAACTTTGCCCACCGGGCAAACCAAAACTCCTGCACTGAACGCCAAAAGATAATAAAAAATATTCAAAATGAAACTAATTATGAATAGTTACACGACTCTCAAAACCAACTGTCAGCAGCAGTATAACAGTACAAATATCAACATCAGGCAGGTTAATCTGGGCAGAGGTGTGGCTGCAGTCTCCCAACTGGTTGCCACCTCTATGGAGTATACAAACATCCTCCTTATTCAAGAGCCCTACCAACGTGGTGGCAAACCTTATGGTTGGCCACTAAGTATGAAACAGATATATCACAGCAAGGGAGAGACTCCTTGGTCAATGATTGGTATCCTCGGTACGAACACAAACTGTATGGTTATCACCAAGTTCAGTAATGCCTATCAAACCTACATAGAGCATAAAAGTGGAAACCAGAGCTGGATTATTGGCAGTGTATACGTACCCATGGAGGAGGATATGCTTAACGCTCTAAAGAACATAGAAGATATTATCGACCAGTACAGTCTATCTCATAACATCCTTATTGGGGGCGACTTTAACGCCCACTCCTTTGCCTGGTATGACGAGGAACCAGATGATAGGGGAGACGCTCTTGAAGCTTTCCTCAGTGAGAAAGACCTCTATTTCATGAATGAACCTGGAAACCTTCCCACCTTCGAAAGCAGTAACGGCTCCTCGAATATTGATTTAACCATTTGCAATCGGCATGCCATCCACCATATTAAGGATTGGACTGTCTTAGATGAAATTACCCTGTCGGACCACAGGTACATCACCTACCATATCGCTAACTGTTCCCAACCTAAGCCAAACATCAAGAGGTTCAATCTCCGGCTAGCAAACTGGAACAAGATCATGGACGATATCAAGGTGAACAACATAGTTTATGATGACATCCAAACTATGCAGGATGCTACAGACAGTATAAATAAGTTCCTGTGCAGTCTTACTAAGTCTATTGAAGACAATATACCTATCTATAAGGATAAGGTTAAGGTGGTGCGGTGGTGGAACAGCGATCTGCAAATACTTAAAAACAAGGTCAAAGCCAGGAGAAGGAAGTACCAAAAAAGTAGAGACCATACCGAATGGGGTCACTTAAAAGTTTTATATATTGAGGAGCAAAGAAGGTACAAAGATCTAATAAAACAAGCCAAAAAGGAGAGCTGGGAGGATTTTTGTACCCGTTCCTCCGTAAATCCCTGGAACATTCTATACAAAATTGGTACGAACAGACTGAAAAATAAGTTCCAACTTACGGACCTTATAAACGAAGAAGGTATTCAAGGGCAAAATACAACAGAGAGCCTCACGTTATTATTAAATGACTTTTTCAAAGATGATAACATGAATGATGATAACTTATATCACTCAGAAATCAGGAGAAACCTTAAGTATTGCTCCTCGGGCGAGGATGCCCCTGCCTTCACATCCCAAGAAATTAAATGGGCTATCAGCAAGTTCAAAAAGGGCAAGGCGCCTGGCCATGACGGCATCACAGTGGAAATAGTGAAAAAGCTGAATAATTATATCCCTGAAACACTAGTTGCCATCTGTAATTGCTGCCTAAAATACGGCCTCTATCGAAGCTATTGGAAAAATGCCAATGTGATCCCGATTTACAAAGGGAACGGTAAAGATGTCAAAAGGACCAAAAGTTACAGGCCTATCTGCCTAATCCCTACTCTGGGGAAGCTATTAGATCGATTGGTTACTAACAGGCTTACAGAGTGGCTATCTACCACCAAACCGTTGCACAATACGCAATATGGTTTCAGAGAGGGAGTAAGTGCAGAAGATGACATCTATAGGGTGACTAAGTACCTCTGCCTACAAAAAGTCGAAGCAAACTGGTCAACAGCCATCGGGCTAGATATACAAGGTGCTTTTGACCACACATGGTGGCCTCTCCTCCTTACCAGGCTGGAAAATCGGAATTGCCCAAATAATATCTACAAAGTTTTATGTGACTATTTTACCAACAGGTCAGCCTATATTACGTACGGGATGGACACTATCCAAAAGTCTGTCACTATGGGGTGCCCACAGGGCTCCTGTTCGGGCCCCCTCCTTTGGAGCATCCTATTGGATGATCTCCTTTGCCAAGGCTTCCTGAAGGATGTACACGTTACGGCATACGCCGACGACATTCTCCTTGTCATCTCCGCAGATAGCAGAGCAAAGCTGGAGTGCATTGTTAATAAGACTCTGCATAAGATCTACTGGTGGGGTCAGAAGAACAGGTTGAACTTCAACCCCAACAAAACTAACGCCATAGTCATTACCAGGCACAAAGTGGAAAGAAGACATCCTAAATTCCACCTCAATGGTGTTCAAATCAACATCACCCCCACCCTGGTGTACTTGGGGGTGACCATTGACGAGAATCTTAGTTGGCTCCCACACATAGTCAACTTGGATAAGAAAACCAGCAAAATTTTTAACTGGTTTACCAACATAGCAAGAAGAGACTGGGGCCTCTCAGGGCCCGCTCTCAAGACCATCTATCAGGGCGCTATCGTCCCGATGGTCACTTATGGAGCATGTGCTTGGGGCGATAGGTCCGCCTACACCCATTACAAAAGGAAATTACATAACATTCAACGGAAGATCCTACTAAGGATTACCAGGGCATATAGTACCACATCGAACGATGCCCTTCAGGTCCTGGCGGGTGTGTTGCCGCTCGACCTAGAAGTAAATCTCAAAATGGATCTGTATCTACTTAGGGCTGAGGACAATGTCCCGGACCATCTAGGCCTGGACAATATAAGACTGGAACCTAAATTAGGGTTGACTCAACGTTTGCCCATCAGGAATATTCCATCCATTAATGTCACAACTTATGTATCAAACAATAAATTCCGCATCTATACAGATGGCTCCCGCGGCCCTGATGGTGTTGGGGCAGCGATGGCCTACTTTAATAATCAAAGAATGGTATATAATCAATCCTGGAAACTAAACAAATACTGCAACAACTATCAAGCGGAGCTATTTGCCATTTGGAAAGCACTCATCTGGTCAAATAAACATCTCTTTAATATAGATGTTCTGGTCTGCACCGACAGCAAATCAGCCATCGATACTATTAAGGACCTGAATAACAAATGCCGGATGATCCAAGACATCTGGAAGGTTCTACGGAACAACAATAAGCACATTAATTACAGCTTCTGCTGAATTAAGGCCCATGTAGGCCACATCGGCAATGAGACAGCTGATATGCTAGCAAAGGAAGCATGTGTACATACTACTAAAGACAATTATAATCTGGTCACAAGAAACAGCATTAAACATCAATGCAAGACATTCCAGAACATGGTCTGGCAACAGGCCTGGGAGAAGTCCAATAAGGGAAGAGGTCTTTTCATCTTCCTACCAGATATAAACCAGCGTCTAAAGTGTAAACACCTTACGCTGAACCAAAACATCACTACCTTTCTAAGTCATCATGGGAACTTCAAAACGTACCTACACAAGTACGGTCACGCGGACTCACCGAACTGTTACTATTGTGACATCCCAGAAGACCCAGTACATATCCTGTACAACTGTGTTCGGCTTGAAAACATCAGACAAGAACTCAGGCAAGTGTGCAACCTGAAGCAGCTAGACTGGCCTCCTTCTCCGGCGGTCCTCATCCACGACGCTTGCCTCTTCAACATCGTGCATAGGATGATAAACCTATATTGTAAGCAGAAGGCTAATTGTAATAACTGACCATATTGTAACTAGCTCTAGACACTATTTTGTAAATACCCACTCCGCTTACACGGAGACTATTGTCGCGCATTTTTTTTTACCTATAATTGTATCATTTTATATATTGTATTTTAAAAATCTCTACAGAGCTCTGCGGACTAGAGATCCATTAAAAAGGGAACAGTCGGAAGGCTGGAGTAAGAAGTCCGTAACCAGAAGACAAGTTCCGACAAAATGAAATGAAATGAATGTCCCTATCTACTATAAAATCATTGGGTATTATCCCGAATTATATTCGAGGTGAGAAATTGGAAATTGAAGCACCATTATTAATTGAGCAAAGGGTAAGAGTTAGAGATATACCAAATATAAAGGTTGTAGAATACACGAGATCAATGAATAAAAGGATTTATACAGACGGGTCGAGAGGACTCGATGGAGTTGGTGCAGCGTTTGTATATTATGTGGGTGAGAGACGAAATTTTTGGCAGAACAAGAAACTTAATGAGAAATGTAGTAATTTTCAGGCAGAGATGCTGGCCATATCGATGGCACTTGATTGGATAAATAATAGGCAATACGGTAGTAAAATATGTATTTGTACAGATAGTCAATCGGCGGTATCAGCTTTGGCTGATCATAATAGTAAACATAATTTAACGCATAAAATTTGGAGTCAATATAAAAGGATTATGGATAGTGGTACTAGAAATGAGGTCACCCTGGCATGGGTGAAGGCACACGTAGGAACGATGGGTAACGAGGAGGCGGATAGACAAGCTAAGGCAAGTTGCTTAATGGATATTAGATCAGTATATAACAGGGTGCCGCTAGATGTTTTGAAAACTGAAGTAAAGTCTAAATATATTGCAGAGTGGCAGCAAAGATGGCAGATAGAAGATAAGGGAAGGTGGACATTCGGGTTTTTTCCGGATATAAGAAATAGATTAAATAATAAACATTTTAGGCCAACACATAGGATATCGGCTATTGTAACAAATCATGGGGATCTAAATAAGTATCTTAGAAAGTATGGACATGTAGATTCGGCAAATTGTGAGACATGCGGTGTGGAAGAGGATGCAGAACATATTATATATCACTGTGTCCGCCTAGAGGAGCGCAGGCACACTCTCCGATGTGCTTATAGTATTAATGGTCATCAATGGCCGGCGTCACTGCGGGAATTGGTGGAACAGAACAATTTGTTTCAATTGTTGACAGAATTAACTAACTTGTTTTATAAATTAAGAATATAAATTATGTTTCGTGCTGACCAACACGCGATTAAAACTGATTAAATTAATCCTGTATCGTGGATGAAATTAGAGGCACATAATAATTAAATAGATGTAAATTGATAATAAGAAAATAAATTAATATCTTTGCAAAGCTTTGCGAGGCAGAGTTGTATTAACATGGAATGGCCAAACTGGGGTGGACAAGTTGAGTCACTCTGGCTAGGCGGGTTCCGACAAATGAAAAAAAAAAAAAAAAAAAAAAAATGTCCCTATCTACTGGGCAGGGAGCCCCAACTTGATTAGTTTGCGATTCGAGAGCTTTTTGACTGCTTTTCGGCGATTAGCCTGTGTTTTTGTCAAGCTTTTTGTTTTTATTGCGATATAACTGATCCAAGGGGTGCAGGGTCGTACCTTCTCGTGGTCCTGCCCGTGAGTAGCCCGCAAGGGCGAAACCGAACCGACCTCTGCGTGTTTCTTTTCGTTTTCAGTCCTTTTCAGGACTATGTCGGCCAAGCGGCCCCATGTGTCGGACTCGGATGACGAGGTGTCGTCCGTTGGTGAGATGGACTGTGGGCTCGAGGATGAGCGCCTCAGGGTTGCGGAAGGGATCCGTGAGGATGTGAGGAACTATATGTTGGCCAACAGCGGGTGTAAGCTGGGGGCGGAAAACCACATGAAGTACATTTGTGGTCAGATTGACAAAATAATAGAACTGATTTCCATTCGCAAAGTGGATCCACTGCAAGAAGCGGTGGACAAACTCAGCTCAAGAATTGAACAAATACTCGAAGTTAAGAGTCATTCCAAGCCCACCTTTGCGCAAGTGACAGCAGGGAGAGGCATAAGAGCAAACCGGGAAGTGCTGCTCATAGACCTGGCTAAAGATAATGATGATCCTGAAAAGACTAAAGAACAGCTGAAGAAGGCTGTCAACCCAAGACAGATCGGCATAGGAATCCAGGCAGTAAGAAAGTTGCGGCGCGGTGGGGTGGCCATCGAGGTTGCATCAGCAGAGGAAAAGAAAAAGTTGAAGGAAATGAGAGAGACAAATACAGGTTTGAAGACTAGGGAGCCTCGGAAGAGAAGACCTAGGATTGTTATATACAGGGTAAAAACGGATATTCCTAAAGAGGAACTACAAGAACACCTATACGATCAAAACGACACAATAAGCTCTGCGATGTCAGCAGAGGAGTTCTGCAAACAAAGCGAAATTCGATTTCAATTTGGTAGCAGGAACAAGAGCACAACAAACTGGGTCATAGAAGTTAGCCCTCGGGTAAGAAATTTGATTTTACCATCTAAAAAGGTTAATCTGGGATGGTCTAGATGTAACGTAGAAGATCATTTGGCCGTTACGCAGTGCTTTAAGTGCTGCCGGATAGGACATATAGCTAAAGAATGTAAAGATGAAGGCCAAACGTGTAGCCAATGCGGAGGTGACCACAAGTTCAGAGATTGTAAAAACAAAAATAAGCCGGAGTGCGCCAACTGTAAGCGTGAAAAAGTTAAAGTGGGGCACAACGCGTGCTCAAAGAAATGCCCAATGATTCAAAAAGTTCGGAAAATGCTGATTGCTAATACGGACTATGGAGAGTAGCTCTCGGCATAGGGATAGTGAAGGCAAGATAAAAATTCTACAAGTCAATGTTCAGCGCTCTATAGGAGGTACATCCGCCCTTTGTAAAACCCTTGAAGAGGTGGACATAGCGCTGGTGCAGGAGCCCTACTGCCTGCGTGGGGCTCCCGCATGTCTCAGAACAAGATACAAGATAATTTATAATAGAGACTATAGTCCTTCTACACTGGTGATTGTCAGTAACCCCGAGATACCAGTGGTGTTTCACAATGAATGGAGTAATAAGTATATAACCTGCCTTGAGGTGGGTAGGGGACATAGAAATTATATCTTAATAAGTGCTTATTGCCCAATAACAAACGACCTGAGCCCAGTTTTATTAGAACTTGAGGGTATGGTCAAACACTTTCATTCAAAGCATATAATTATTGGTGGTGACTTCAATGCCCACTCGGAGCTGTGGGGCGATCCAGACAATGATAGCCGGACGGATCAGATGCTTGAATTCATTAATGCTAATGATCTTCACCTTTTGAATAGACCGGATTCACTGCCAACATTTGACGCCCCTATCGGGCGTAGCTGGATCGACTTAACGGTCTGCCATAATGCGGCCGTAAGGATGGTGCACGGGTGGGATGTTTCCCCGCGTTGCAGCCTCAGCGACCATGGCTATATATTTTATAATGTGGGCTTTGAGGAGCCTGGTGACAGCTCTTCGAACCCGTGTTACGCTATTCACAGGGCCAACTGGCCTCTGTTTTGCATCAGGACTCATGAAATCGGGTCAATTCACAACTGGCAGTCTATAGCGGACAAGTCGGAGGTGGAGAGGATCATCTCCCACTTCCAGGACACCCTCCTCGCAATATGTGAGGCTTCTATCCCAAGAAAAAATAGTGGCCGCTCCCCTGTGCCTTGGTGGTGTAGCGAGCTATCGGTTATGAGAAGGAACTGTAATAGATTAAGGAGAAGTTACCAACGCACAAAAAATAATAGCGCTAGGGCTGTAAAGAGGTCCGAATACATGGAAATGTGCACTAAGTATAAGGATCTAATAAAGACAAGAAAACTCCAGACATGGATAGATTTCTGTAACGAGAGTAATTCGAAGCCGTGGGGCTTCCCGTATAGAGCATGTGCCGGGAGATTAAAGGTGCCTTCATTCTTGACTTCTGTGCGTGAGGGAGATGAGTATACTACTGGTACTGAAGAGACCATAAGGTGCCTCATGAACACCTTCTTTCCCCTCGACAGGGCTGAGCTTGACACAGTGGAGCAAAGCAGGATAAGACAGGAGGGAGATGAAGTATATAGCAGCAAAGTGGACCCAGAGTTCACTAAGGAAGAGATTGGGAACGCTATTTACAGGCTCAGGCCTGGAAAGGCTCCAGGGCCGGACGGTGTAGTAGCTGAGATAGTACACAAATTATGGGAATCTAATCCGGCGTTCTTGGTGACTGTTTATAACCTTTGACTTCGCTGTGGGGTTTTCCCACACCCCTGGAAAATTGCTAAGCTGGTTATCATCCCTAAAGGAGATCACTTAGATAAAAGTAATGTGAAGAGCTACCGGCCGATAAGTTTATTACCTCTGCTGGGAAAGGTGCTAGATTATTTGGTTAGTCAGAGGATCATTGAACATTTAATCGATAAAAATTATCTCTGTCCTAAGCAGCATGGCTTTATGCCGAACAGGAGTACTGAAGATGTTATTTGCAAAGTTGTTGGTAATATTAATGACCTATTGGCTCGATTTAAGTACTGTTGCGGAATAAGTTTGGACATTACAGGGGCCTTCGACCACGCCTGGTGGCCCCTGGTTTTGTTGTCGCTGCGTGAAGCAAGGGTTCCCCAGAACCTATACTATGTGGTAAAGGATTATTTAAAGGAGAGAACGGTGATCTACAACTCTCATGGGGTGTATGTCTCCAAACGGCTGAATAGAGGATGCCCTCAGGGCTCCAACTCCGGACCTCTGTTCTGGAACCTTGTGTTTGATCATTTTCTCTGGGCTGATAAGGGTCCCGGGGTTATAGACTTGGCCTACGCGGATGACACCTTTGTGCTTTTTGGCGCAAACTCAAGGAAGGAGATTGAGACAACTGGTGAGTGGGTCTTGAACCATATTCGAGAGCTGGGCAATCAGATCAAACTGACATTCAATCCTAAGAAAACTATGGCCATTGTTTTTTCAACCGGCCGCTCCCCGTGCTTATACGGGAGGAAACCCATTATCAAAATGGGAGGTGAAAGCATTCAAATTGAAAAACAAATGAGATACCTAGGTGTCACACTTGACAACAGGTTAACCTGGCTCCCGCATGCTGTACGGACTAAGGATAGTTGTATCAACCTGTTTAATGCTCTGGCCAGGGTGGCGAGAGCCACCTGGGGTCTTGGAAGAGAGGCAATAGAGGTCATCTATAGGGGAGCGTTCCTCCCTAGGATAACGTATGGTGCGGCGGCTTGGAGCCATGCAGCTGGAAAGGTCGCTATTAAGAGAAGACTTGATTCGGCGCAGAGATGTGCACTTCTTAGGTGGACAAAAGCATATAGTACCACTTCAACAGAGGCACTGCAGGTGATTGCAGGTGCTCCGCCGGTGGATCTCGTCCTGAATGAAAGAGCCACACTGTTCCAATGTAGAAGAGGAAGCAACATTGTTGTGAATGACATCGAGTACACCAGTCGGGACTATGAGCTAAGGCCTGCTTTGTGCGAACAACTTAAATCCTACAACCGCATAGTCTTAGAACCATCAAGCAGGAATACTGAATATTCAATCCAGATCTACACAGATGGCTCAAGAGTGGACATGAGAGTTGGTGCTGCCTTCTTGGTGATGTGCAACGGCAGTACGTTAGTGGAGAGGCAATTTAGACTTGGTGACGCATGCTCGGTCTACCAGGCTGAGCTCCTAGCTATAGACAGAGCAGTCGACTGGGTGGCTGAGATGAAGCACTTGGAGCCTATTATAATCTACTCAGATAGCATGGCTGCCGTCAACACGTTGAGGCAATTTAAAGACACAAATAATATATCGTTAAATATTAAGAAAAATATAAAGCATAATGGTCTCAATATTAGAGTGGAGTGGGTTAAGGCACACGCCGGGAATCCCGGAAACGAAAGGGTGGACCTGCTGGCGAAAGAGGCCACCCTGATTCCTGAAGTGTATTACGACAAGATCCCCATCTCGGGAATTAAAAAGCAATTAAGAACCTGCACCTATAACGAATGGCAGGATCGATGGTCGTGCTCCTCAAAAGGAAGGCATACCTTTTGGCTCCTTCCGTGTGTTGAAGAGAGGATGAGAGATTTGAACTGGATCCCGGTGGATTATTATTTTAGCCAGTTGTACTCTGGACATTGTAACTCAAAAGCTTACCTGAAGAAGATTGGCAGAAGGAGTAATGCAGAATGTGACTGCAACGGTGAGACACAAGATATTAACCATCTGTTTTACACATGCCACAAATATGAAGCGATGCGGCTTCATCTGACTTTAAGCCATACTCAGAGTCATGATACCAACGCTGATATGTATACGGTTATCCGAAACCGAGACATTTGTAATGACCTTAGGATCTTCATAAGGAAGATTTTGTTGTAAGACGGAGGGAGTCATCCTCCCCTGTTTTTCACCGACGAGCTGTCGGTAGTTGTATGTAATTAGACAATTACACTGTATATAGTTTATTAGTCTTTTATTTTTATTGTTCTGTTTATAAAAATTGTACGGTTTCAAACTGAACTGTAATTAATAAAGTCTTTCAATCCTTGTGATACATGGTGGGACAAGGATGTAGCTGATCCTCGGAAGGGGAGATGATGACCATCCAATGAAAAAAAATGTCCCTAACTACTGACTAGTTGGATTGTCTTTGTATGGTAAAGTTGTGCAATTTTAAGCTCCTGGTTTTTAGTGCATTTTTAGCGTATTAATACGAAACAAAAAGTGGTTCATTATGGAATTTGTTATCGGAAGTGACGAACAACGTTAATCAGTTAAGTGGAACAGTTTATTTTCGAAACTTTTTAAATTATCTGCTTATAAGTGCTTTTTCCGGTTAATCGGATTTTTGAGCCTCGATCAACCGGAATGGTTGACGGCAGTCTATGCGGACTAGCTATCGAAGTCACGTATCAAAATTTTGGGGTCTTCGGATAAATAGGGACCGAGTTATTAAAGTACTTCCGGTTTTAAATGGAACGTCGATTTTGAGCTTCCGGTTAACTTTATCATAATTTCCTTCGGTCAGTTCTTTAAGGACATTATTAGCATTATTTTGTGTAATTTTCGTTATTATACGTTTATTAATTTTTAAATTATGGCGATTCTACTATCGAGTTCCAAAATCAACATTTGCTTGACTTCCGTTGTTACGGCTTAGGTCAATGACCTTTACCCATAGCAACGCTTGTATCTTTTGAATGTTGGTCTTTTATGGTCATATTATATTTATAAGGGGGTCAACTTATATATTTTTGGAATCGGAACATTATGAAGATTTCAAAGNAGCAGCGTAGACTGAAAATTCGTATATACATTTTTCGCATAACACACACACACGGCATTTCTAATTTAAGTAACGTCTACCCCGAAATATTATAACAGGACATTTTTCATTAACATGCCGCTATTAAAAAAATTAACCGTTACTTTGGTAGCATCATTTACAAGTAAATGTAATGAATGCGATGCACAAGATACATTTAGAAGTCTACGGGTTTTACTAGTAACGAATACGAATGGACCCTAGACCATCACGCGCAATTAACCGATTGCCCCCGGAAGTCGGCTTATTACACAAACACCGCTTCCCTATCGTCAAATGTCACGGCAGGCCGCTGCAGTTTTCATAGATCAGTTACAGTAAGCCCAAAGAAACACGATTCTAAAGAACACATTTAACCGAAGTGTACGTCTTATTGCCGCGGTATTAAATTCAAAATTTAAAAGATACGATTTAGGAAGTGGTACGACTCGAGCAACCTTGAACCGCGGTACCATTTCACTCTCAAATTACGTAATTCGTATTCTCGGAAATTTGAAAATCGTTTAACAAATGGCTGTCGTTTTTTTTTTTTTATGTTTTTATTACGAAATCACAATTAAAATTCTTAAAATATGAATTTAAGAATTTTAATTGCGATTTCGTAATGGAAACTCTTTAGGTGTTTTGATATACAATTAAAGGTAGCTTTTATATTTTTACGTTAGTTTAAATGAGGTTAATTATATGTAGATTCTCGTTGGCGAGTGAGCTAGAGTTTTTTAACGTAACACAACAGTTGACATCTTGTGTTCATCTACCGATTTTTCCACCTGTTTATATTCATATTGAAGATAGTGATAAAGAATATAGGCTACTAAAGATGTTTAAATTTTAATCGTGTAAAAGTGAGCGTTAAAATTCAACTTTTAATTTAATCTACGAATATAATAATTAAATTACAAAACAGGAAAGATTGGTTATTAGTTATTCACGTAGAATATGCAAACAATATTGACAAGTGGAAGGAATCTTGAAGGTCCATAAAAAGTAATAAAATGGTTCATCTTTACAAATTTGAAATAAAATATGATTTTTACTATCTAAATATCAGGAAATCATTTATATAACGTATAGTAAGAAAAAATCCAGAAGAAATAATTGACTAATATTTGACAGAGCTGTGTAACTTACACTGGTGAAGACGAAATTTCTACTCCTCCAGCCCACGATAGATCACAAGTGACAAAATTTGCTGATGCGCTTTATACAATAGCGAGGTTGCGGCCGAAGTTTTCATCTGTAAAACGTGAACGTCGAAAGTCGAGCGCCTCTTACAAGATAGTGGCGNTTTTCAAGAGGTTGCGGCCGAAGTTTTCATCTCTAAAACGTGAACGTCGAACGTCAAGCGCCGCTTACAAGATAGTGGCGCTCGACGTTCGACGTTCGACGTTCACGTTTTACAGATGAAAACTTCGGCCGCAACCTCTCTAATACGTTTTTTTAAGACGTTGAATGTGAATTTTCGCTGCATGCATCTACGAGTTCACTAATGTACTAATTGAACAAAATAAATTTAATTACTTTATATAATTGTTTATAAATTAATAATATATTTATAATTATAGATATGATTAGTTATTTTGATATATTATTTCATTATATATATATACAACGGATAAACAATCAATTTTATGCAATTTTAAACAATTTTAAACAACGAACGAATTATTAAATTGCTAGAAATTTAAAATTAACTATTACCTAACTATAATTAAACTTTAATTACGCGTCTGCAACGACATTAACATTAATTACATAACACGTCATGAAATTTATATATTATTTATTACGACAATCATGCAGTGATTTTAGTATTTACATTTTTAAAAATTCGCAAAAAAAAAAAAAATAATAAAAAAATTACAACTTAGTCACTTAATAACGTCAATTATTTCGTGTTAGTCTATTAAATGTTAATCGGCCACACCAGAGGGTGCTGTCGTCGTTGTTGTTGTAGTTTTCAGTTTCCTTTCGGTCGAGCGAGATGGGTACTTTTAAATTGAAAGATTCGAAAACATTCATTCATTTAAAAACGTTCGTCCTTGATCATTTGTAAATCTATTCGGCGCGTTACATAATTCGGGTATATCCCATTGTATTTGTTTAATTAATGTTGTCATTCTATGGATATGTGGAATCCAACACACGTACAAGTTATTGGTAAGTTTACAATAGAAGACAATACACGTATTGTGACTGACATTTAGTGTTTGTTTATTAATGTTATTTTCTAATTTAGATATTAAATATGTCTATTAACAAAAGCCTATTGTAATAAATTAATATGCTCGTTCAATATATATTAAATTACGTATTATTTTTCTATATTTTATATATAAAAAACAAAAGAGTTTCGAGTTACTGATCCGATTATAAATTACATAGTTAACAGTTTGTTGAATAAATGCTTTAGTAAGCATTATGTTAGTAAATTTCGTAAATTTTTTATTTTATTAAAGATGCCTGATCCATAAATGATCTTTAATAAAGATAATTTATCTTTTATTTTAATAGCCTCAATCATCTAAAAGTTTTTTAAGATCCAGAAAATGAGAAAAATGAAAGTTTCTTTTATTGTTTGCGTATTGCCGTAATATATGCAATAGTCATTTTTTTTTTTTTTTTTAATTATTAAGTGAGCGAACTGAATTATCCGTACGAAAGTAAGCCGAGATCGACTCCTATTTTTAATATTTTAGTATGACGTATTACGGTATACTTGCTGCATATAGATTACGTTATTATGTATGCTAGATAAACAATAAAATTATTGCATATAATATCTTGTGAATTAATTTAAAACATGAACTTTAATATTATATTATAGTTTCAATGAGAAAGAGAAATTTGTTCAGAAAAATTTGAATTTGAAGTATTCCTTCCTATTAAATATTTAATGATTTTATTTAAGATATATTACATTACTAATTCGGTAAGATTTAATAGCTTCTCTATTATAACTAGACGAAAACTTTGCAAACCTTAATATAGTACATATGACAAGATTTTTTTCTGCAGTACGCCTCTGGCATCTTGCTAATGTCGTAGGCTATCCTTGTACGAGCAAAAACTAAAAGGAATCGAGAGTGCTCCTTTATGGGATAAGGCCATCTAAAATTTGCTTTCTGTAGAGCTGAATATTTTACAATACTTGTTGAAAATTTGAAATAAAATAAAAGTGGAACGGTATCTTAAAACAATATTCAAAATAGCATTCTCAGTCTGTACAAAGGTTCAAAAATGCTATTTGATCTAATGCCTATCGTAAACATGAACTGATTTGCTGACATACACTGTATTTAGTCATGAGACTGATGACAATTGGCAGACATTAGCAAAATTAAACTGTTTATCAAATATATATTATATACAGATTATAAAGTTCTTCTCAGAAATCAGTTGAGAGAAAACTTTAAAAAATATATTTATAAATTTTTTTTATAGTTTAGTAACTTCTTACAAGGTAACGTCGTACAGCTGCGTTGATTGAAGTAAATTTGCTTTGGGATCGTGCCGAATATTTAAACAAATTAAGATAATCTGAAAACTTATAACAACACTTACGTTCATTAGATATTGCAAGTTTGCTTGTGGTGTTTTCTGNTTCACCTAACACAGACAAAAGTTTATATAGATATATAAAAATTTTTGGCTTTATTAGGTAAAATTGGAAGTACTGGTAAAATATTAGTTCATTAAAACTTCTGGATTAAAATTTGAAGACATTTTTATTTTTAATGTTATCCAGTTGGTCTGGTTTTATGTTCAAACCAGACATTATTTTTAAAAAGTTTTAACTCAGTTTATCAGTAAAAATTACTCTTGTGTGTCTAATTCCTCTTGGTTTTTGCTCTTCTAGGGATAAACCCTAACAGTGTGAATAGTGTCCAGAAAAAATAAAACATTGTTATATAATATGAAAATCAATTATAAAATAAGTTTACACTACTCATAAACGAAGAACATTTTAATAGAATAAAATGACAATATACAATGTCATCACTGTTACATTTCAATAAATATTCTTTTAAGATAGGAAACAAATGAAATTCCTGGTTGCTAATTCTAGAATATTAGATGAATGATCTAACATTTTTCAATAGATTTTGACTTTCTTGGCACATTCTAAATATGTTTTGTTCTGTACAATCATATATTGTCCAATGAAAATCACATAATTATTATGAAGCTATTTTCTTTTGATAGGTTTGTTCAATGTAGCAAGAGCCTCATTACTTCATAAGTAACCTCAAATGAAGCTAACAGTAATTTCAGGCACTCCTATTTCTGGTGGTATTTACCAAAAATTTGATAATTTTGAGACAATTTAAACAGAAATTCTTGACCATGTCCCTTCACCGCAAAGCACCTGGAAAGATTATGCTTTTGAATTCCTAAACAATTTTAAAGAGTGGCTATCAAGTCTAGAGATTACTGAATTCAATGCTTTGAAAGGGCTGATTATTGCAGATCAAATATAAAAGAAAGTTCTAGCAACGATTCAAGAACATTTTATAGATAAATGGCCAAAATTAATAGATCCTGAGGAATTGACTGAAATGTTGGACTCATATGAAAACGTACATTCTGGGATGAAAGCTTTTTTCCCAGAACGTAAAAATTTGAAGTACAGTGCTGAATCAAAAAGAAACCCGTATTACAAAAATTACATGTACAGTCAACAATCAAGACCAAGAAATTGTAACCAGACAGTTAAAAATAATAAACCAGTAGTTCTTCATAACAAAAACAGAAGCAAATATATATGTAATAAATACAGTAAAGATGGTCCTTACAAGTTGATGGAAAGGAATAGAAGTTTGGATGTTCAAAATAAAAATGATGAACTTAAGTGTTACAACTGCAATGATTATAGGCATATATCTAGAGATTGTCCTCAACCTAAGTCATAATTGTTTGTAGGAAATGCAGTGAGCAAGATCACAGATATGAAAAAATATATATACATTTATTTTATTTTAACTTCAGATTACGAAACTTATTCATACATTAGTTATTTCATCATTAGCTTTTAGCCTAATCTTCAGTTCTTCAGAAATTTAGTTGAGATATTTGTCAAAGCCAAATGATTGCAGGATTAGTTTGGGCTATATTACTGCTACTATTAATAATTAAATGCTAAGTAATTTGGCCTAGAGGTAGGTGTTAGGCATCATCTGGTATTAAATTTAATAATTATAGTTAAATTAATATTTATTAATTAATTTGGATGGTTCTGGAAGAAAATATTCTGTTTGGATCATCATACACACAGTAAGCAGTAGTTGCAGATTTGTCCTGTTCCAGGCCAATTAATTTCTTCCAGGACCTTTTAAGTTAATTATAATTTAAATTAAATTGAATAATTAATAAGAGGAGGTGCTTATTGCCTAATATTTATCTCTAGGCCAAATTATTTAGCATTTAATTATTAAGAGTAGCAGTAATATAGCCCAATATAATTCTACANTATAAGTTTCTTGAACTCATTATACAATTTTAAAAATTCATATTAAAATATCGTACTTTATTGTATTGTTTAAAACTATAAAGATAAAAAAACTGCAAAAAGTAATTATGTGAAAGTAATTTTATATTGTTACATTGCTGCATACATTTGTTAAAAGATTTTTGCATATTAATGAACTACATCTATCTTTTGTGTGTGTAGTTTTTGTTTGAATTGTTTGGTTTCTATTCTGCTTTTATGATGTTTTTTCTTTTATTTTTTGTTACACCGTAAAGTTCACTGATGGGACTAGAAAGCTTTGAATTTAATCTGTTGTGTATAACATTTAGTTTGTATTGAAAAGACTATTTTAGACTTTGCTCTGTCTGTGTTTATATTTCAAGAGTTATAGCAAATTGACATAATAGTCTAAATATTATAATTTTATGTTCAAATTATATTTTAATTGAAATAAGTCTAATTTTATTTACATATGAAATAGTATGATTAAAATGTTTTTAAATGAATAATAATTGTAATTTTTTAATTTAAATAAGAATTACTTGTATATTTTTTAAATCAAATGTATAGTAGAATGTTGTTTTAACTGATCACTACAGTATAGTGTGTAGAATAGTGTACATGTTCTATGACCTGTGACGCTTGATGGCACTGTTATTTTGCTTTGTCAGTTGAGTTTGATTTTAAAATCAAAATTTATTTACTTATTCACTTTGAAGTTTTACTAAATGATTGAAAATTAAAAAATAAATCAGTAATTTAAACGAATATTTAAATATTCGTTTTAATAATTATTTTAGAAAAATTTTTCAAAATTTTATTATGAAATAAGTTATTTATAATTTTTGGCTACACTTTTTAAAATGGCATTCAAATTACGCTTTAACTTCATTCCCAACAACATTAACGTTCTGTATGGCATATAGTTCTCTCTATAGAAAAAAAATTCTTATGCAAATGTAGAAAATTCATTATAAATATTTAAGTGTCTTTACAAAATTCTGCGCTCATTTAAGTAATACTCCTTTACTAAGTCTATAGCTTTTCCTTTTACCATTTAAATACAAGAACAAAATTATACACAAGTAACAATAAATATAGCAGCTATAATTATGTTAACTTTACTGAGGAATTGCTAATATTAAAAATTTTCTAAAAATTCATTATAATAAGATGCGTGTTTATAATAATACAGTTAAAGGCTTAGTATTAAACATTAATAACTTTGAGGTTTCACTAAACAAAGTTTACCTGTATTTTTTTGTATGAACATTTGAACAAATTTTATATAGCATTTTAATCAGATTTCAATGATAATAGTTAAACATTAATTACATTAAAGTAGCACCTTTTATTTTTACTTTATCATAAATCTGGTGGTTTAGTCTTTACTATACATGTAAATATTAAATTGTAACTTTAATCCATTTAAAAAATTTTTTAAATTTAATATATATTAAAATTAGCTTATTTTAAGAAAAACGCGTAAAATTATGAGTTTTAATCAACAAAAAAGTAATTGGTATAATCCCATACGTAAGATAACGTTTGTAGTTATATAAATCAAATACTGTAATATAATAAATAAATAATAATTTTTATCAATTGATTAACTTTACATGGAGTCTAGTTGTTAATTCTGTTTTAAATGTATTTAAAATATTCTTCATATGGTACGCTTATTATTATTATCAAAATATAATGTCTGGAATCATCCATGTTTACCAAATAATAATGATTTATTTATCTAATTTACAGCTACTCATTTACATTTTTAATCAGAAAAACTATAGGTTCTGTCAATCTAAATAGCTTTCAACTAGATTCTATCTTATTTAGGCTTGCCACTGTTTTCGAATATGTTTTCAATTTATAACTTTTGTTAAATACTATTTATGTAAAATAATCATAATTCTTTATCAAAATTGAAAAATTATTAAGTTTTAACAGTCAATTTTCATACTGAAGGAACTAATCTCGTTTAAATGCATTACAATTTTACTACAATATACAAATGATTCACATTATGAACAGTGAACTGGAAGCTTGACCATTTTATAAAACGAGTACAGTAGAACCTCGAAAACTCGGCTCTCGATAACCCGGCACTCCGGATAACTCGGCCACACCCTGGCAGGGCAAAAAAATCCTTAGTTAATTAATTTTCATTATAGACAGCTTTATAAAAGTATAAAAGCTCTCATAAAGTATTTTTCTGAGGTCTGTCTTATCAGGTAAATTACTGTACACAGTGTATTCATTAATTTTCATTTTCATGTAGTAAAGGCTCTATGCCTTCATAAAGGACGTACTTTTCCTTTAAGGATATTTGGGCAGTTTATTCTCTGTTATATTCTCAAGTAAACAATACATACAAGTACAGTACAGTATTTTCTGAGGAAACACTCGTACTTATTTTTTTTAACCCCATTCCCGATAACCTGGCATTTTCACAAACTCGGCCACCCTTCGGTCCACATTAGGCCGAGTTTTCGAGGTTCTACTGTACTGTAGTAGTATTTCATTGCAATCTACAATCTGATGAAACCTTAATTTTAAATTAAATTTCATAACAGTAAAGTTAATATTAAACAAAGTACAGTATTTACATAAAAATTATTTGTTACAGTTTTTTTTTTTTTTTTGAAAGAAGTCACTTATTTTATTTTGTTTCATATAGTTTTTTTTTAACCTGCTAAATCCCTGGGTTTCTTGATAACAGTTGAAAAATCCACTTCAGGTTGCATTTATAACCATTTCAATGCAATTTCTAAGATGTCAAATGTTGTGCACAAGCACAATGAATTATTTTTGATGCCTTAGAAGCCAATGATCAGTAATCATTCTTTTCTATTTATATTGTAATAAATAAAACCTATTTATTATTTTATCAATTGTTTTGCTGTTTGTTTATGGATATCATTTAAAGAAGTAAAATAAACAAAGTCCACTTTTATAAATATTTTTATACGTGTGATACATATTAATTTTATTTTATTTACTATTTTTAAATTTTTATAATAATTGTAATTAATTAATTTAATAAAAAAAAATGAAATTTTTAATTTTTTTGGAAATTATTAATTTAAAAACTTATGAAAATATTTCAATCTATGTATTTTATTTCGTATAAAATATGATGATGTTATTTTATTAAATATATTATTCATTTTTTTATTTACAGTACAAAAAGCCAAAGATCTTATTATTAAAGGAAAAGATGGTAAGAATATTGTTATATGTAATTATAGTTATTATTTTTTAAATTCTTTAATATATATATATTTTAAATACAAACTAAACAAATTAATTTAATATTTTCATCTTTTTGTGCTTCTCATTTTAAAAAAATATTCTAAGTTAAAACATTTTAAATTATTAAGTTAATTAAATTTGTCATTTTTTTAATATAATTGAAATTAAACATTAATATACCATGGTTAAAATAAACAAAGCTGTTAAAGTGATGGAAAAGAAAGTATTGATTTCTAAGTAATGGATTAAATAAATGATTGTGATTCATTCATGAACTATTTGATTCAAGTAATTTTCAATTATAATTAATCATTCTGGTAAAATAGTGTAGAACAATTTATATATTTGCATAATATATCATTTATGATTTTTATTAAATTACCTTGTTTCACCAGCAATTTTATTAATTTTTCACACTTTCTTCTATGTTTTTCATTGATGAATTTATTAAAATACAAGGGCAGTTCAACTTTGGTCCAGAATTTCAGTAATGGCAATGGAACTGTATGTGTTACATAGACCTAATTTATGGTTTTTTTTCCTCTATCTACTCCCATTCTACACACTAACACTTCTCCCATTGTTTTAGCAAAAATGCTATGCTCGTAAAATAGAAGTTTTGGCTGGTGTCAGAGCAACGTCCTATGCACAGTGGAGGTGATCAACAGTCTTGGCTGGGAAATTCTAGATCATCTGGCATACAATCTGAATCTGTCACTATGCAATTATCTCCTGCTTGGATCTTTGAAAAAAGCTTTGGAAACAGGAGATTCACTTAGAATACTGAAGTCTCTCTGACTTCAAAGAGTTTTATTATGCAGTGGCTGTCATCAACCAAAAGACTTCTATTCCTCAGACAAAGTATCATTGCCAAAACAATGGTAGAAATAAGCATGTAGATTGGGAGTACCTACAGAAAAAAATTGTAAATTAGGACTATGTAACACACATAGTTTCATTATCATTACTGAAACTCCGGACAGAGGTTGAACTGCCCTCATAATAGCGAATATGAATATTAATTAATTTATGATTTAAAAATTTTATTTTTTTTTCCACCTTTCCAGCTATTATAGAATATAACATAAGGAGAGTATGGTGATTGGTCAAATTTTGACCTCTCAATTATTTTGCATTTCCTCAACATTTTGACACTCCATAAACACAAAAATGTAAAAAACATCCTTACAAAATTGCACTTGTGAATACCTGTTTGTGTGTCAGATTCTGTTTTGTTTGATATCTCTAGGACTCCTTGGGCCAAAAAAATTTTGAAATTTGGCAGGGATACTTCTATACATGGGGCATACTATTATATTTTTGGAATTATAAGTTAATGGAGGAGATGGGTGCAGGGGTTTTATCTCAAATGGAATCAGACTTAATGACAATTTTATTTGTTATTGGCATTTACAATTATCTTAAAAACTTACCCTTACTCAAAAATAAACAAAAAGTGTCTTATCATTGTCATTAAGTAACTTTTATAGTAATTAATATTATAAAAATTATTTTTTATTAAAATCTCATATGGTGGCACACATAATTTTAACTTTAAATTATGAGTACCAAGAAAATCATGCAAGAGCACTTGCCAGCTTTTTTTCATACTGTACAATGCCTATAGAAAAAATGTTATATTCATAAAAAGAATGATGTAAAAAATTTCATTCATATATAATTTAAAATGTTCAAACACAATTTAAATGTTTTTCATGTATCTGTGACTAGTTATGCTTACTATTTACTGTAATATTTTTTATTTTATTCTGAATGTTATACTACAATATATTCACTTTAGAATGAATCATTTTGCATATAACAGAATCTCCCTTTTTATTTCTTCCATTCAAAATTATTTAAAATATGTTTTATCTTCATTTGGAGATAAATTATTTCATTATAAATATCATATTTAATAAGCTAAACATTGTTTCATGTAATTTCTTATGGAGAAAAGTATGACATGACCAGATCAGATTTTAAGTAGTTAATCTATTTAAAGTGTAATTCGGTTGAAAATCTTAAAGAAAGTATATTAAGATAATGTGAAAATGTATTAAGTATAATTCAGTTGAGAATCTTAGGTAATATTTTCTGTCATAATAGTTTATTTTGAAAGATATATTATTAATTGAAATTTATGATAAAAAATTGAATATTTATCGCTTGCTAAAATAATATTTAATAGTACTGTAAAAACAATAGAAGAAACTTCTAATAATATATAATGTTTTATAGACAAGTTTATGATATATTTATTAAAAATTATAGTATACAATAGAACCCCAATTATCCAAGGTAATGTGGACTGATGTATTTCAGATAACTGAAAACTCAGATCTAATGGATTGATACAACCATTTTCAATCAAAAGTTAAAGTATGAAGGATTTTTTATGGTTTATCTCTTTTGAGTCTCGTTTTATACCTTAGTGAATATAATCGTATTTAAGAACAACAATTTTTACATCATTTAATGTATAGCTAATATGTGCAATATTTTTAAGAGTTAAAATGTGCATTGTAGTTACATTGTAATATGAATACTTTGCCTCACATTGAAAGTACACAATAAAATGTAACAGAGACATTTTGTAATACATGTTATTGTTTTAAACTTTCTTTTATAAATTACAATATAAGAAAAATAGTGTTGTTTTCACTTACAGCTTTGTCTCAGATAATTAGGGTTCTACTGATGTAATTTAAGGAATTATTTAGTTAAATTTAATATACACTAATTTCAAATATTAAATGTCTGTTTTAATATTTTTATAATTATACATATTTATTTGCTTTTAATATATAATAATTTATGAATTAAATTTTATAAACTATTTAATTTTATATTTATAATGAATTTATTATACATTGAATTTAGGTACAAATGATGCGTATGTGGTAGTACAGCTTGGTAAAGAAAGATACATGACTTCAATTAAAACAAAATGTACAAATCCAATTTGGTATGAAGAGTGTGATCTGTAAGTATTTAATCTTTATCTTTACGGAAGTTAAATAAAAAAATGTACATTATGAATTGAATTCTTTATCATATATTTTTTTACAAATTAATAAAATCAAAAAATATGTAAATTGTATAAATACATGAAAAATCAATACAATGCATAATGATAATCATATGATCTTTAACACTTTCCTGCTACTTATAGGAAAAAATATTTTGTTTTCTTGGATATTTTTTACTAGAAGGATATAATAAACTTACATTCATAATATAATAGTTTTTATGGAAAGAAAGGAAATTTAACTGTTTAAAAAGTACATGACGCATGTAATTTTCATTAAGATATTGGGCAAAAATTTTTTTATAAATTATAATCTCAAAAAATGATTTATAAAAAATTAATTTTATTTAGTTTTTTTAATTTATTCACCAATTTTTACTTCATTACTCATAGTCCTTGCAGTTTTATTGTTAACTCTGTGCAGCAATTGTTTTTTACATAGTGATGCATAGAATCAGTTATCTGATTTCATTTCAAAAAATAAAATATTGCTAAAGTTATCTTTCCCAAATATTTTCACTTTTGAAAAGTAAAATGATTGAATTACTTCAAGAGGAGGTTTGGTATCTTAAAAACGAAGTTCCATACCCTTAATGATATTCTGCATTTATTTTTGTTAGAAGGCTGTGGTCTTAATTAGTTTGAGCTATACAAACAATCTTTTAGTATGTATTAATTCACTACACTTGATTTAATAATGATTTTATTTCCATACTTATTACATGAGGGACAGAGTTCTATTAATATTCTTTTATATTATTAGTTTGTATTTCTCCGATATGCATTTCAGGAATATACCCCTTGTCAGTTGGAGTTACAATTATAAAGTTTCCTTATTAACTCAAAATATTTAATTTAATTTAATCAAAAAGTTTAATAAATGGTTTCATTTTTGTGTGATTAATATATGAAAAACTTAACCAGACAAGAAGCAATATTATCACTTTTTTAGTATATATGTTTTTATACAAAAAATAAAAATATTTAATTAAAATTTCTATTTTATAGAATTTCAGATTATTGCTTTTAAGTTTTATAATAATTTAGTTATTTATTCACAATTATTTTAATAATATTTTTAATCATAAATATTTGTCGCAGATTACTTAATGATAAAACAAGAAACTTAGAGATAATTGTGTACCATCGCAACTTTTTTGGAATGGATGAATTTTTGGGCCATGTAACCATTTCTTTTCAAGATTTAGAAATCTCTAAATCTCCACAAACAAAGTTAGTTTTTTTATTTATATTTTTTTATTGACAAATTTAATTTTTAACAATATCATTTAATACTAACCATTTCAGTACTTCATGGCAAAATATTTTCTATAATTTATCATTTCTTGGTGTGTTTCTGCTATAGCAAGTTTATAAAATTTATTTTTTTCAATAACAGTTGGAACTGTAACTGAAATTTTTAATTTAAAATAACAGTAAAAATTGTATCTGATTTGATTAATTTTTAACTTTTTATTTTGAAATAGAAAATATAACAAATAGTAATAAGTAGATTGTAAAAAAATTCACATAAATATAATAGAAAACTTTTTAAGCATTTTAGCAATGTCAAATTTTATTATTATTGATATTACCAAATTTAAGAACAGTGACTGTAAATAGGAAGAAATAAAACAAATTTATATTATAATCATAAATTATTATTGACACACATCACCGTACAATATTACTAAATGTAAATTTTCTTAGTGTTAAAGCTTTTAAAATCACAACTTACACAAAAATTGCTTACTGTACAGAAGTACAGTACTTTTGGTAATGAACACATTATTTTTTCAGGTATTTTGAATAAAAATTAAATAAGAACTTCAAATGGAATTTCAATATTATTATTTTATTTCTGTTCCAAACAACTGAAAACAGTAAATGTGTTCATTACTAAAAGTACTTGTGAATATATTTGCAATATGCATTCTTTGTGTTAGTCATGATTTTCAAAACACTTAAGACAATTTAATACTTTTATTAATATTATAGTCACTAATAAGTCATCACTAACTTAAGATAATTTTTGTAAAATTACAATTCATTTTTAATAAAACACTATTCTAAACTTTACCAAATTTTTCATAACTATCAAAAGAAATTCCAATGAAGAAACTTGATTTTCATAAAGCTCTTATCTACAGAAAAAGATCACTAAAATTGTGATTTCTTATTATGATTACACAGTCGTGTTATATACTTCAGTTATTATATATTTACAAATCATATAGGCAAGAGACTAAATAGAATTTAATGTTTTTGATCTAGATTATAGACTAGGATTTTTCAACTTTTTTTTATCTCATGGCATACTTGAATCTATAATTAAATTTCCATGGAAAGAAATCATATGATTTAAAGTTGTGTTTGTAAACCTTCTATCGCAATATTACTTGCCACTTAATCTAATTCATTTTGTCTATGTTTTATGAATTAAATAAAACAATATTGTTGTTCCTTAAAATAACAGCAGTTACAATAGTTATTTATAGTAAATTAATAATTTTCATTTACTTAAGTAAAGCAGTTAACATTACATTTTAATTTGCATTTAAAAGTGGCATGATAATTGCCTTTAGAAACCTGCAATGCCCCACTATTTCTAATAGAAAATAATTTAAATTAAATATATTAGATTATATCAATTATAGATACATTTTTGATTTAAAGAAAATTTCATTTTAAATGAAATAACCCTGTGTTATGCACATATAATTTTACTTATGAATATATATTTTTTACTACATTATGTATATGTTTATTTATTATAACAGTGAAAAACTCATATAATCAATTTAAAGAGGTTTTATTTTTCATATATACACTTATTATTCTTTGGGCTTTTTTTTGAAAATAATTTATTTAATAACCTTTAAAAATTTTTGCAGCACACCATTTGAAAATCATTGCTATAGACTATTTTCAGGATTCAAACTTTCAAAATAGAATTATTCAAATGTTAAAATTAAGAGTAAAAATTCCAAAACAGTCAATACTTAATAAAAGTAAATGTCAACAACATAAATATGAATTAAAAATCTACTATACAAATACTAAATACAAAATAATGAAAATAAACTATGAATAAAATAAAAATAAGATAAAATAGATCTTCTTGATATAGATACTGTACAGTACATGTAGATACCTACACTGATGTACATCTCTTAGTAGTACGGTAGAGCGTCGATTATCCGAATCAATTGGGGACTGGGGTTGTTCGGAAGATCGATGTTTCGGATAACCGATTATGTACAAAAAAATATATTAATTTATCCCATCTTGACATTTTTCTCCATTGCGTGTCGCTTCGCGTTGAATTTTTGTCGATGTTAAGCCTAACAAAGACTATTGTATCGTTAAAAATTATTTTTTTATTTTGTACGAACAAAATAAATATATTGAAAAATATAAAAACAATAAAAAATTATACTTCAGAAGTTAATTTAGTATCAAAAACGTAAAATATTTGAGTAGCCGAAGACATAGCCAAAGATTGCAGTGCCCAAACACTGGCGAAAATTTAAATTTGCCGACTGGAATTCTTTCGGATGATTGACTTTCGGATAATCGACGCTCTACTGTATTTTCATTGATAGTCTTCACATTGTAAACTTTCAATTTAATGTAGTTTTAATTGCTTGAGAATTGAATTGGAAGACTATCATTAATACAGCATGCTGAAAAGATCCTAACCATTGTGAAGTGATTAATATATATATATTACTCTAGGCAATCAGTTTATTTATTCGTGTAGATTGCCTGTTATTCAGTGATTGATTTATATATATAAATCATAGTAGAACCTCAATTATCCGAGTAATGTACCTTGGCTAACAGAAAATTCAGATAATATAGATAGCCACAATCATTTAAGATTAAATATATCAATATTCCAATAACCTGACATATTAATAACCAACCAACAGCTGAAATAATTGGGCAGAAATTATCATACAAATATTATTTTTAGAAATTACATGATACTGCACAATAAGTGGAGGTTGTGGATTCGACTCCCGCTCTGGGCCGATTCTTTTGTTTCAGACATTTCTAAATTTAAAATTAAATTATAGTTTCTACTTTAGTTAAGAGATGATAACAACTACTAGACATTAAGCACCATGTAATTTCTAAAAATAATATTTGTAGGATATTTTCTGCCAAATTATTTTGGCTGTTGATTGATGAACATTTAAGATTAAAAACTACAAATAAAATGTATATAAGAACAATTTTTTCATTGTTTATTATACAGCTAATATACAGATGATAATTTAAGAATAGAAATGTATTTTTTTGTAGTTACATTTTAATACGAATAGTTTGTCTCACATTGAATTTAAACGATAAAAGGTAACAGAAACAAATCGTTTTGTAATAAATGATAATGTTGACACAATGTTTGCAAAACTGAAAGTATATTTTAAGTCAATATTTAAATATTTTGATATAGATTCTAGGATGATGAACACTGGTAATTGGTTATGGGTTTGCATCTGACCAAAAGGCTAGTGATAGTTTTCCAGATTTTCTGTGTGTGTCTAACACCTAATTAGGGACCAGTTTCCTATAGAAAATTCTCTCAGCAGGCATCTCTCTTGGTAGATCATCCATGTGTTGCATTGCTTTAGCCCATCAATCCAATTTCAATCTAGGATTCTAGAAATAAAATTCCCATCATTTTATAAATAAATTGATTAATAAAAACCTGATTCAGATGAATTCATTGGCATTGACATNTTGTATCGTTAAAAATTATTTTTTTATTTTGTACGAACAAAATAAATATATTGAAAAATATAAAAACAATAAAAAATTATACTTCAGAAGTTAATTTAGTATCAAAAACGTAAAATATTTGCATAGCCCAAGACATAGCCAAAGATTGCAGTGCCACAGCACTGGCTAAAATTTAAATTTGCTAACTGGAATTCTTTCGGATGATTGACTTTTGGATAATCGACGCTCTACTGTAGTTAGTAAGAATTTTCATATCATGGGGAGGGTTTCTGCATCTTTTGCATTAAGACATGATGCCCTTAACTGTTGACTAAATACAGGTATTCCTCATACAACACAGTACTTCTAGTATTGTAGTTTATATCATACACAGTACTTCTACCAGGTATTGTTGACATTGCTTTCAGACATTAGCCCTTAAGACTGTCACTGTGTTTTCTTTTTATAGATTAACCTTCATATTTAGTAAACTTTATTTAAGCATCTTCAAGTAAATGTTATTAAACTTTTTTTAACGTTAAGTATTACTTACAAATGATACTTCATTTGTAAAAATGATGAACAAAATACAGTGGTATCTCAATACTTGAACAATTCAGTATTCGAACACAAATTCTGGAGAAAGGTCGTTCGGTACTTGGCCAAACAAATGCCTGCTAGAACAAATTTTCAATTAGTAACATAGTTTTATTTTATCACTCATAAAAGTTTTTTATGATAAAGATAAAAAATATGAAAATGTTGCTGATACTTCTGATCAAGATCAACAAGAAAGCTGAGATGACAACGATACTTTGTAAAAAGAAAANGTCGTCGTCGTCGTCGCTTTCATACTTTAACTTTTAAGACTGTCACAGTGTTTCTCTTCTTATAGATTCATCTTCGTACCTTATTTAGTAAAGTCTATTTAAACATTTTTCGGTGTTATTAAACTTTTTAAATCGTATGTAAGTACAGTAATCATTCGTAAAAATGACGAATGAAATACGGTGGTATCTCGGTACTTGAACAATTCGGCATTACAACAAATATTTTTCCAAAAAAATATGTCGCTCGGACCTCGATTTAACAAATGCGACTCGCTAGAACAAATTTTCGATTGATAACATATTTTTATTTTATTACATATAAAAATAAAAAATATGAAAATGTTGCTGATACTTCTGATCAAGATCAACAAGAAAGCTGAGATGACAACGATACTTTGTAAAAAGAAAACGCCCTCGTTTAACTAAAATTAATATTATTAATTCAGTACTTTTAATTGTGATTGTTAATTAATTATTGATTGGAAATAAATTATCGATTGCTTTAATAAACATATTTCTCTTATTAACGAAAACAATAGTATACTTTTGCTAACTTCTGGAATGTTTTGCATTAGTTCTTTGTTTCATATAGTATGGATTCACATAACACATCACTTNGTTAATTAATTATTGATTGGAAATAAATTATTGATTGCTTTAATAAACATATTTCTCTTATTAACGAAAAAGAATAGTATACTTTTGCTAACTTCTGGAACATAACCCTATATTTTGCATTAGTTCTTTACTTTGTATAGCATGAATTCACATAACACAGCACTTTTTCAGAACATAACTACCTACCATGGACATATACAAGGGATACTTGTATTGTTTATTCTTTCAGCTGTAACTGTATTCTTGGGTAATCTGATATTTCTGATTATTCTAACTTGATTCCATATGATTTCTGTATTTTCCACATTTGTGAAGCAAGCTAGAATTGTGTTGTTTTTATCTATGCGCATGTCATATCTAAGTTTGTATAGTTCCTGCACAAGGTTCCTACTAATATAATGTACAGTACAGTATATAGGCTGAATCCACCGAGCTGTTGTAGCTGGTACTACATAAACTCAGTTTTCCACTCTAGAATCCTATCATTATCATTCCACTGCAAATGATAAATAGTGGAGTTTCACTTATACACTAATCTAGAATCCTGTGATGTCAGTAATTCTTTCTGTATTGAACATCTTCCTAACCACATTTATTTATGTAAGCAGCTAGGAATTTAGGCATTAACAATATATAATTATTATTACTACAGAAGCATTTGTTTTTTATATTGTGTATATATGTGTGCATAAAAAGTTTATAATTAAAAAATTAATTTTGCAAACACTCAAAAGCTGAAAGAATATTTTATCTCAAAATTTGGATGCCATGAAAATAAATAGTTATTCTTTTCTACATAATTGTTGAAGTCTGTTCTTATTCTATGGGAGACTGTTTTAATGATTCAGTTTTTCAATAATCGAAAGTTGTAACTTAACATATGGAGTATATGGTCTACTACCATTCTGCTTTTATAGTCTGAATATGTCATAATGTTTATAGTATCTTAGGGGAAAAAATATAATATATATATATATATATATTCTGCTGTCTGGTCTGTTCCTTTAGGCTTTGTACTAAATGAAACATAAACAGCATAAAATAAATATTTTATATAATCTCAAACTGTATGTTCAAATTTATCATTTATAGTACAGTATATTTTGAATTATAGTCTTAATGATTATTATATGAAATTGTTTTTGTGTGTTTTGCAAATTAAAAAATAAAAAAAGAACAATTAATTACAAAATTTAAAAAATTTTTTAGTAATAATAGTGGTTTACTTTAAAATAAATTTTTCATTTTTAATATTTCGCTAGATGTATAAATTTTTTAATAAATAAAAAGACGGTCAATTCCAAAAAATTTGGTTAAAACTTTGGTCGATCACCTTTTATTTCTGTTAAAATTTCAAAATAAACTTCAGCGACCGGACCTTCCTTTTTAGGCTACACGGTCGCCTATAAACAGTCCTTTAAAATACAGAAATAATCCAATTTAAGCATTAAAACTTGTAAAAAAAGTTGTAAAAAATTGGAACTGGTGATCTTTCGACGTCTTTAGTCATCCTTCTTCCATTCGGGAGTCTTGGATCCTTATATTTACTCAAGGAATGCGCTGTTAAATGTAAATCGTCCTTACTCTCCTCCTGGCGGCGAACTATTACAAAATTTTAACGGAAATAAAAGGTGATCGACCAAAGTTTTAATCAAATTTTTTGGAATTGACCGTCTTTTTATTTATTAATAAATTTTTCAATTAAAAAATATTGAAACTTCAGTTAAAATAAGAGTTAGTTATAGTATAAATAAAAATTCTCTAGAAGAAATGAGAAATTATAAAATCATATAATATTAAAAGTACAATACCTTTTAGTTAATTGTAATGAGTGAAATCTTATTTTTCTTAAGAAATAAGTTGAGTTAACATAAATATATAAAATACAAGGCTAAATTATGAATTTAGTTTTTATTTTTTGGTACATACAGCTATTAAACATTAAATACAAAATTGATAATTGTATAAATCAATCATATTTCTGTTGTATTAACCAATAAGTTATTATTTGATAAATAGATGGTACATGTTGCAAAGTAAGAAAGATAAAAAAAATGATAAATATAGAGGCCAGTTGGAACTTACAGTTTCCTTTATTATAAGTGAAACATATGCAACTAATGATTCTTCCAATATTTATTCAAAAAGTAAAACTGCTACTAAATTGAAACAATTAATGTCCCGTGCAGGTTAGTAGAGTATTAAGTCAGTTTAATGTTATATAAAATATCAATTAAACAAAAGTGAGATTTTCTTATTATTTGACTTCAGGCCAAATAAAATTACCTCATCTTCCAAGGCGGAGTTTTTCGTTAAAATCTGATAGTTCGGAACTACCAAAACAGCTTCAACAATTAAGAGAGAGACGTTTAAGTGAAATACCTTCAAGAAAGTCTGTATCTTCTGAAGAAGACATAGAAGAAGAAACAGTGCCCTCTCTTACTCATAGAAAGTATGATATATCAAGGTCTTCCTTAAAGGAGCAAGAGGTAAATATTAGCAATAAATTTTTTCAAATTGAATCGAAGATTAATGATAGTTCTTCTTAACAATAATTTAATTGGCAAGAATTGATAGTCATTATCTGTTGTTATTCAAAATCTAATTTAAAAGAGTACTTAAATAAGTGTCTGAATTATATTTTATTAATTCCTGATAATTTATATATTAAAATTTTTACTATTGTAATTAAATTCAAAACTTTTAAATTTTCTATAAAAGTGTTTTGAAAACATATATATCTTTTATTTTTTATTGAGGTTTACTTTGTTTTTTATTTTGATTAGTGTTAATTATTTCTATATTGTGTATTAAAATAATTTGACTTGCATATTTGAATTATAATCAATGTCTGAATTACACATATGTAATATTTCCTTTTTGTTTTAATTACATTTTCAGTTTTTAATTATAATATTCTATTTATTTATAGTACTAGGAGGAAAACTAATATTACTCTTAATATCAAAAATGAAGATAGAAAAGTCTTGGAACTAGAGATAAGGTTTTCATAAAAATTAAAATTATTGACATTTTAACAAAGAACTGACAAAATATTCTGTCAACTTTTTCAAGAATAATTTTAATTATTAATTGCAATCCAAAATAGGCATGATCTCTCTTTTTACTGTTATGAGAAATAGCTATGTGTATTTTATAATTGAATTATACAGGGTGACTTTAAATAATTATAAAGTCAGTGTTTATTAAAATATATTTCATTTTCAAAATGTAATAGAATCTATAGACATTATTTAATTGTTTTGTCAATGCCTGTTTTCAAACTGACATCCGTTCTGGTCCAGGCATTGTTGACAATGCAAAGCAATGGAATCACAAAACATTTTGTTTGATATTTGTGTACATTCTCGTTCAGTGGCTGCTCTCAATTCAGCAACTGTTGCAGGTTTCATAGCATAGACTTTGTCTTTTAAGTATCCCCATAGAAAAAGTCTAGTGGTGTGGTCTGGTGAACGCAGAGAGTGTTCTATGAAACCCCTTCGTCCAATCCACCTGTTTGGCAAGATCTCATCAAGGTAGGATCTAACATCATGATAGTAATGTGTGGGTGCCCCATCTTGCTGAAAATAAAACTCCTCATCTTCAAAGTCCTCTCTAATGTTGGCATGACAGACTGTCACAGGAAGTTTGAGTAAATGGGACCAGTCACAGTAGCATCAAAAAAGATTGATCCGATTAATCCTCTTGATGATAAGCTGCACCACACTGTAACTTCTGATAAATTAACATGATGTTCTACCATAAGATGCAGGTTATCAGGTCTCCAGTAGGTGCAATTGTGAGGTAGCAGGGGGCCACAGGGATGATCCCACTTACTCTGCACGGGTTAGTAAAACCCGCTCTCAGTTTGTCAGATGGCTTAGGAGGGCAAATCGAGTGGGGGGGGTAGTGAGGTCGTGACGAGGTGTCCGAATAACTACACAGGTTGAACAGTAACAACACATTTAATAAACAATTAAGAGATTATACATATCAAAGGAAAAAACATAAATGACACAAATATGAATAATAAAAGGTTTCTATTCTATATCTATGTTCTATCCTAAACTAAAGAATGAGAGAGACCTCGCTAAGAGGGATGTGTTGGAGAGAGAGAGACAATTTGGTCGAGGATTTACCTCCTGGGATTCAATCTCATAGTATAGGGCATTGATAGGACGCACTGGGCTCGGCGGTTCCTAATCGCAGTTTCCCAGGGATGGATGGTATGGCGGTATGGAGTTGGTGTCCCTTCCTGTCTGCTCGGCTATGTCCAACGTGGGTGTACTCTCTGTTGATCTCCGACTGTAGAGGTCTGCATGGAGATGTCCGCTGAGGGTGGCTACCTGGCGATGTCCTCTTTGGCTGTCTGCCTGGAGGTGCAAGTTCGACCCCTTTTTATACTTATCTTGGAGGGGGAATCATGGGGGAAGAAAAGCTAATGCAATTGTCAGCTCGACTTGCATATAGCTGTGTTTATGTTATCGTCATCCTTTCCTTCCAATAATTGACATCTTTCCATCATAAATTTGTCAAACTCCCTGATTTATTGACATGAGGTGACTCATGTCAGACTACATTTCATCCCCTTTGTAAAATTATTGCCTTATTTGGTCATTTAGATCAACTTTCTCATCGGTTCACTCGGACTTAGAGGGGAGTATGGGGTTATGTTGTATCCTCGTCGGTAACCTTTTGGTTACTCTCTATACAGTAACAGGTGGTTGTCACCGTTAATTGGCTACTTATCTGCACCTTATATTTACGTTGGACTTGGACGATCCCCTGGTGTGAGGGGAATCCTTCTTCAGATGATTAAAGTCACCTTCTAGGTGACGCAGTACACCATGTGTGAAAATTCATATTTGCGTCCGAATTCTCGCACAATTGTATCATTTAATTTGCTCCTAATCCAATGTAGCTCTTAATAAACTGTCTTTGTACTTCAACTATGTTTTCACACTTCCAGTATCAATTTAGAATGAATTTCCTTTGTTCAAAGTTTAGTCTGACTTCCATTATTAATTCTAATGAGTTTAACCTTGAAGTAAAAAAAATATATATCAATTGAGCTATCAGCTGTTTATTTTTTTGGGACACACCCTGTATATATATATATGGACTCTATTATACTAAGTTACCAAGTTACTATAATATATACAATTAAGACCTTTTTTTTTTTTTTTTTTTGACATATTCCAAAATGCATTTTGGCTATCATTGCTTAGCCTTCTTAAGTTGGATATAGGTCTCAAAACATATCCTAGACCTAATTGTATATACTATATCTAAATTGTATGTCTAAATTGTCTAAATTATATATACTATGGTAACTTAGTATAATAGTCTCATATGTATGATAAGCCAGTAAATTGAAATACAATATAATGATGCAACCATTTTGATGGTTATGGTTAGAGCACAGTAATTATGGCAGCATAACCATTTTGACTACTGTGATATTCAAAACTACTAGATTTAATGGCTTTTTGTTTTATTGGACTACTATATACTAATATTGACAAGAATTTATTTTTGTGAAATTTAGAATTTTAGGCTGTTATTAAAAAGAAAACAGGATTTTAAGTGCCAAAGTACAAGTTACTTGACTTTTGGTGATTAAAACATTATAGCTTATATTTATATCAATTAGAATATAATATATATAAACATAAATATATGCAGTAAATCTCTTCTTTCGCTCATGATTGCTTGATCCATAAACCATTTTCTATTGTGATTATATGAAAAGCCATATTTTTTGTTAGCCATTTTAATATGATATATTTCCAGGAATACAATTTCAATTACACTTAAGGATTATTTTATGAGAATCAGTTAATTATAAAAATGGACTGTATTATTACTGTATTTTTAATTAAAGCATTTGTGATTTTAAAAAATATTCTTGCCAAAATAAAAATTATATTTATTTTCAATTTCAGTAATTATTATTAGTAATTTATATTTTTTTGAATGATTTTATAAAATGTAATTTAACTGGTTTTTTTTTTCTTTCTTTGTAGTTGTAAAATTTTTTCTGAAAAAAATTAAAATATTTTAATTCTTTATTACACTAAACCAAACAATTGCCACAATTAATTGGGTTATTATAGCAATTGTTTGGTTTAGTATCAATGCATTGGGCTTTGGGATGTTTATTATATTCTTTATTGTAACTTAAAATTTATTTATATTTAGGAATTAGTATTTATTTCAAATGGTTCTAAACCAATTCAACGTACATATAGTATGCCTGGTTGCTCTCCAGAAAAATCTATTAATTCCAGTAATAAAACCGATAGGCGACAGCTGTCAGTATCTCCTGAAAATTGGAAGCAATTTCTATTGACAGAATCAGGCAAGTTTATATTTCCGTTATTTTTAACTATCCAAGTGTTATTTAAGTAATTTTAAATTAATATCCTTAATATTTTAAAACAGAACTGGTTTTTATACTTTATTATAATACTATAAATATTTACAATAAATTAAAAATACTCACTCAAATTATAATCTTGGTAATCCAACACTAGTCAGTTCTCGTGTATTACCAGCATCTTGATCTAAAGATTATGAAAAGTACCAAAAAATAGTCCACAGAAAACAATCTTTCTTGCCTCTAAACTTATGTCATTCAAGAGCAGTACATCTCACAAGAAAGCTTTTAAAATGTACTCCAATTGATCATAGTTTTTTGCTTAAAATATTATATATAGAAACTTTGGCTTCTATATATAATATTTTATACTTCGACATGACTTCAACAGTTAATTATTCCATTGAGAAATGCATTTAACTTCTTGTTTTTAATTTGATAAACATTTTTTTTATTTTTAATTTGTTCTATGATTTTTAATTAGGTATGTTATCTAATTGTTGTACTAAGGGAGACACTTATTGTCTACAAGACATTGCTTTTTTCTTTGAAAATAAATAAATAATTTAACCAAAACAAAACTTTTTCCTTTGTTATATTATAGATATTTATGTGATTTCCATAGTAGTAATTAAATATGGACAATGTGTTTGGTGATTCTTCTAATTTCTTTATAATCAATGTTCTTATTAGTTCTTAAAATTTTTCTTATTTCTAAAAGTTTCATTAAATGTTTTAGAATTGTTTTTTGATCCTAGTGTTTAAAAATATTGGGTATAATTAAAGTACAGTCGACCCCACCATAACACGGTAGATACGTTCCACTTTATAAGAATTTCACGTTGTAGGAATCCTTAAATACATGATCCAATCATAGCCCGGCTAGGATTACTTACCGAGTGTGCACCATTTGACAATGCCATTGCTTAAGCTTGTTTTTGTCGCTGAGAAGCGCATGGAACGGCGGGCACGTTTTCTGATCAGCGAATTTTTCGCAGAAAAATAACTTAACTTTGGAGACATCATTAATAGAAATAATTTTTATGGTCGTTGAATAAGAAATGTTTTTTTCAAGAAATGTATAAAATTACAGTATTGTTGTATTAGACTTACAGTACCTAATTTAGGCCTGTATACTGTACAGACGATAGTAAACTCAACTTACCCGCCTAAACTCTCCGTAGCGTGTAAGTAGTTCGGCTGCTCGTCCACTATTGGTCAAGATTCTACCAATCCTGTCGCGACATGAGTTGATGATGACGTTTTACCACATTTTATGAGTCTCTTTTAGTGTCTTTATGCGAATACGGTCGTAATTTTTTTGCCACAATATACAAATCCGCATTATATGAACCCACGTTATAGGGGGGTTGACTGTACAGTACCTCTATTTAATGCTATCCAGAGTGATATTTAGCTGTTCAAATACAATCAAATTTGGTATGGTGACATTTCAGGACAGATGGAAGACATTTCTTCAAAAAAAAAATTATTACCAAAATTTGATTATTATGGCACTTTTGGCACTGCAAACAACAAACATTTTATTTGTACAAAGCACTCATGCTACATAGAGATTTTGATGATGCAAGGGATACTGTTCAATATGATCCTGATTCTAAAAGTATAAAACCTGAAGGCAGTATGTTCACCAACTGTATATGTGTTGACTGTAATTGATCCACTGTGATGTTTCTCTCATGCAATATATAATATTGCTTTCAAAGCTACCAAATTCACAACATATCCTCAATAAATCATACTTTTTAAGTATCTCCTCGAATAAAAATCCTTTTTTGTTGCTTGCAGTGCAAAAAGTGCCATAGTGGCAAGTCTTAGAACCATTTATTTTTTCATAGAAATGTCTTGTGTGTCCTGCAATATCTCCATACCAAATTTGGCTTCATTTGGACTGCTAAATATCTCTAAATAGTATTGAACAGGAGTACTGTAACTATGATCATCTGGTACTTTTATCAGAGAGATTTTGAATTATTTTTGTTTTATTTTTGGAATTTATAACAATTGTTTTTATAAAAGTTGTTTATGTTGAATTATTTTAACATTTATTAAAATTTTTTAGAGGTTCAAGTGACTAAGTCAGATAGCAGTTTAATTGATGGCAAAGAATCATCAGCAGATTCTTTATCAGAAATAAAATTTACAATGAAGGAAAAGAAGGGTAAACTTCAATTACTTAAACGCTGTAAGCCATTATTACTAACCATTTAACATTTCAATATAGTATATTCAGCAAATTAAATATCATAAACTGTTTAAACATTTCTATTCACACAAAATTGTTTTAATCATATTTTCTATCAAGATAAATTTTCATAATTACAAAACAATTTTTATTAACTGTACTGAAATTAAATGTATAGTCTTATTTGATGTAATTACTATTAAATATTATGTTTTTGATTTTATTTTTTCAAAACAGCATTGTATCATTTGTCATTTCTTTTTGTGTGGCTATACCTGTTTGTACATACATTAGTTCAAGTAATTTTACAATGAATCTAGTGCTAGCTTACATTTCTTTCAGTTTGAAACATCTACATGTTTGGTATTATTTTCAAAGGCCAGTCACTTAACACTGCTGTTTTAGTGATTTGAGAAACTTTGCCACTACTCGTTTTAAATTTCAGTGAGGCTGGATGTTCTTTCCGGCTATTGGGGTTATCATTAATATGATAACCCCCAATAGCTTGAAAGAACACCCAGCCCAGTTTCCCCAATCACTAAAGCAGCAGCATTGAATGACTGGCCTTTTGAAAATAATATCAAGCTTGTGGATGTGTCAAATTGAAAGAAATGTAAACAAGCACTAGATTTATTATAAAATTACTTAAATTAATGTAAAATATAAAATGTGTAAAAGAAATGTGTACAAAGTGGTACCAATACTGATGAGGTGAGATGACTCCAAAATGCATATATGAATAAAGAAATATAGAGGGCAAATAAAAGGCATGCATTGTTCTACACAAAAGAAATGATATTATGAAAAGTGTATTAGTCACAGGCAAAAGATACCCTTGTTATAGCGTTGGATTATTTTCAAATACTCCAAATTATATAAAGTACTTGATATTTGTATTTGAAATACTTTTGGTATTTTGTTCAGCTCTGCTCTGATGTGATAAAATTAGAAAAAAAAAAAACAAATTTACTTATATATTTGTTTTTATGCATGTATAAAAATCAGCTCAATTAATTGTCAAAAAATATTATGTGAAATAAATTTAGAATTGTAAAATTTTCTTTAACACAAATAAAATATAATAGTGGATCTACTGTTTTTTAAGTAAAAGCAGTATATAAGTGAATAAATAATACAAACTTTAGAATTTCAAAATAATTTTAATATGATTTTGCTGAATATTCTATATAATTTCTGTTTTCTTTAATTCCATACAATAATCTCTATAATCTTCTTTTAAATTAATAAATGTAAAACTAACATTTGATCAATATTAATGATAAATATTTTATGTTGATTTTAAATATATGATCTTTAATCTTATTTCATTGAGAGCTTTTTATTAGTTGATTTTTATCTTCAATTTCAGATTATGCGAAATCGGTAAAATATTTTATAAAACTAAAACTTTATTGAATTAATGCCTTTAATAATGTATTAATTTTTAATAATTGTTAATTTTATTAATGACTTAATGATGATTATAAGATTTTATTAAAATAATTTTATTAAATAAAGCTCAAAACAGAATTAATTTTTTAGTAATTACTTTTTTAAAAGTTATTTTGTTTCTTTTGCTATATTCAGTGTAAAATCTGATGTACAAATTTTTAAAGCTGTTTCTGGAATTATATGAAGCTGATTAATTTCAAAATTAATGGAGCAGATCTGCTCTATTAATTTTGACCTGTTAAGAAAATACAATTCATAAATGCTAACGATTATCTAAACTAAAAAAGTAAACCTGTTCTCTAACTGAATGCATCTTTTTCTCTTAAATCTGATGACCAAAATTACTTCTTTGTCAAAATTTTAAAAAATTTGGACAATGAAAATAGTAAAAGTTTTTTACGATGTGTATCCAATTAATCTGTTACTACAAAAGCAGAGGATTTGTCATTCTGTCGTATTTATGAAAAATCAAAAACATTCTAAACTTATTATTAATCACATTTTTAAACACATTTAATAAAATGTGATCTTGTTACTTTCAAAATATTGCTTTGCATTATCATGAAAGTGTACAAAACTTTGCACTACAGTAGTAATAAATCAAAAAGTCTATTGTAAAACTCTTTGGACTCACTTTTGGCCATCTTTGACATACATGTAAATTGGAAATACAGTTATTGAAATAGAATGCATTTGAAAATAATAATAATAACTCTCCTGTGGTCACCACCTAGTCATGGTGGGAGAGCCCATTAATTTTACTGAACCATAGAGCAATGCAGGCTGGAGCACAAGCTCCTGGTAGGGACACCCATGCCAGTAAGGTCTATGGGGAGAAATGAAGCTGAGTGACCATACCCACATTCTGTGGAGATATTTATCATGGTAGTAACCAGATCAAAGTGTGATACCGGCTCGGACGTCACCCGGGTTAACAAGGTCCACGTTCATGGGTTAGGCAGAGGCTCACGTTCAAAAAATAGGCCGCAATCTCCCTTGGTTACTGGTGGCGAAAGCAGTGCCAGCCCAAGCATGGCTACTGCAATGTCCTCAACAGATGTGAGGAATCAACCTAGCCTTGGTGTTTCTGTGGCAATGCATTCACAGACCACAAAGGCTGGAAAACCACGCCAACAGATGAAATGGACATCAGAAATGAACGAGTTTATCATCTGTACTTACTACACCATCACAAGACTCGAAACAAACATGACAGCATACGGACAACAACTACACCATAGATTCACACAATATCCTCACCTCACTGTCACCGAACAAAGGGTTGTTGATCAAAAAAGAACAATTATACACAACAACCTTATCCCACAAACAACACTTGAACTTATCAAACAACAGGTTGCTGATCAAATACATCAACAGACAGAAACATGTAACATTATTAATGAAGATCACGTAACCTGTCAGGATAATCCAGCAACAAGCATTGATAATAGCACATATACAACTACTAGTAATGATACTACAGGCACTTCCTCATCCATCACTCATAACTTTGGCACCCACGTGCCATCACATGCCCCCAGCACAGACATATGCAGATATTGTTAAAGGTCCCATACATACGTCCAACAATAAGGTAGTGTTAATCTAAGGAAAACAATAAAGCTGAGGAAGTTATGGATAAATTAGAGAAGAACATAGATCCACGTAATATCGGGGTCAGAAATATAAAGACAATTAAAAACAGCTTTTCGCTGTTAGCTGCAGCGATACCGAAAGAGCTAGTAGACTGACTGAAGAACTAAAGAAAGAAGCCGAGAAAATAATGGATAAACGTAATATCGGGCCTTTAATAAACGAAAACATTGCGCAGTATGCGACCCGGGGGCCCCCTTCTGAACCGGTATCTCTTGCCCTTGCTAAAGACAGTCCCTTCTAACTGAAACGAAAAAAAAAAAAAGAAAACCACGTAGTATCTCATTCCCGTTTACTGTCGGTTGCTACTACAAATGTCTGTTGACGCTAAAAAAGAAAAAACCAAAATCTATTCTTTCCGATTCTCTTTTAACAGAGCGCGCGTATATGTATAAGGTCGACAAACACACTCACTGGTCGTCGGCCTCCCTGTCGTATCTGTGGAGCCGTCTCTTCATCAGCAACCTCAGGACCTTGGAGATGGCCAGAGGCTGGCGGTCAGTAGCCTCCTTCCACATGGTCGATTCAGTCTCGCTTGTCGCTCCTCCTGTTCAAAAAGAGACGGAAATGGACACTTCGTACTTTCACGCGAACCAACATAGCTCCAATTCTGCAACATAGCTCCAATTCTCCAACATAGCTCCAATTCTGACCTAAAGCGTCTAAAAACCACTCCGATCGACCGTTTCCTAGCAGCCTACCTAACTGCGCACTTTACTTTTGTGCCAAATATTTGAGAGACCCATACTTGAACTGTTCTGATAAGTTATTATAATTATGTTTGTCTTTCCTGAATTTCTAAATTCTGAAATCCTTTTTTAAAAGTTATTTTGTTTCTTTTGCTATATTCAGTGTAAAATCTGATGTACAAATTTTTAAAGCTGTTTCTGGAATTATATGAAGCTGATTAATTTCAAAATTAATGGAGCANAATAGTGTAAAAAAATTCTAATTCTGAATATATTTGTATTTTTACCTCTCATGAAATTTTAATAATAATTTAAAAATAGTAAAGAATTTTATAGAAAAAAACATAAATTTTCTTGATCAAGTACTTATATAATTTGAAATTTATTTATAAAATAAATTTATATTTATAGAAAATGAAAAAAACTGAATATTAAATTATCTATTTGTTCATTTTTTTCAATGATAGCAAATTTAATTTAGTAACATTCTAAAAATATTTAAAAAATTAGGGAAATATTTCAGAACGTAAGAATATACAAATAGTTATATTTTTCTAAGCATTAAGGTCATAGAACATTTTGAATTATCGGATATAGATAATGATTATTGAAGAATAATTCATTTATTTCTTTGAATACTTCTATGTAAATTGTTTATACGTAGTGTACGTCTTTTTAGATAGTAGAAGACATTCTGTCCAACTTACAACTGATTTGAGTGAAACAATTCTTGAAAGAAATGATTGGATAAACAAAGCATCAGAAATAGAACCAAATTTAGATTACATTTCCAAAGATGAATTGCACATGTATAAAGCAATGAATCGCAAGGTACGTTTTATTTTTTTCTAACGATATATTTTAATTTATAAATTTAATTTAATTTTTTTTTCTCTCAGCAATTAGTAGATTTAGTGGTTAAACAACAGCTGTTACTATCTAGGCAGAAAGATAAAATTCAAGATTTAGAAAATTACATCGATGACCTTCTTGTCCGAGTTATGGAAACATCACCACGTATTTTGCACATATCCTACAAGACTTCCAGTTTGGAATATGTAAGGTATATATAACATAATACATAATGCATGATCATCTAAAAAAATATATTTATTGTATTGCCTTTGTATGGTGGCCATTAATGACAAAATGTAATATATATTATAATTTGTCATATATCATAAATGAAATGTATTTTTCCCTATTAAAAGTAGCTTTATAATAAGAAGGTTATATAGTAACATATTCTGACTCTTTGATGATATATAAGTAAAAGAAATAAAATAAACTCTCAGAAATTAAGAAATCTTGTTTATTTTACATGAATGATTTTGAAATCAAGACAATTCAGCTTCAAATATTCTTAGATCTAAATTTTAACATCCATACAACAGTCTTTAAATAGTTGCAATAATTTTAACAAGTAACAACTCTGACCTTTGGCATAATATAAAATAATGTAATCACATTTGTGATAAATATTTAACTTAGTAATATATTGAGAAAAGAAATATTAAATTATTGGCCCTAATTCTAGTAAATTGCAATGAGATTAAATAGAATACGTTGGTGCTAAAATAAATATAAACATTGCTATTTCAAGCAGAGTGCCTGTATCCAGATCCATGGATCTATTGGTTGAACATTCATTTTATTTATTAATTGATGGAGGTATTCAACATTTCTTGGAATTGGATAGAAAATTTTTAAGAAATGCTTAATGACTTAACTATTAAATTTTAACAGATAATTCTAAAAGAAAAATTTTAATTTGAACACAGTTGCCACAGAAATATAATCATAGCACCAATGAAATGTGTATTATTTTTCTCTTCTCGTTTAATATTATTTTTAAGTGCTAATCAGCAATCAATCAGATTTTTCAAACATTAAACTTGACATCCTCAAACTTACACATGTATATTTTGAGCTTACTCATAATGTTTAATAGGGATCTTTTGCAAGCAGGAGAGACAAACTAACAAATAGTTTGTTCTTTATATACAAGATAGACGTTTCTTAAATTGTAATTGTTAGTTCTTATGTTGTTCTGATTGGTATTGATTGCTCTGGAAGAGAACAAAATGATTGGAACATCATATCATTTTGTGAACATCTTTAGCCAGTACTTTTTCTATATTCCTTCTAGCTTTGAAGATCTCTTCCATGTTTTAGGAATCTTTCTTTTAGGCTCACACATATGCTTCCTATATAAGACATATAATGGGATCTCTTTGTGCATGCATCTACAAAACATTAAATAACGATGGGGACATAACACACTCTTGTTTTGCACTTTCCTCAATTGTGAACCACTAAGACACTTTACTATCCATGCATACATATGCTTTGCTGTTTTCATACATTGCTCTTACACCTCTAAGTAGTTTACCTCTCACTCCATAATCACATAATACTTGCTCCAGTTTCTCCTTATTCACTCAATCGTATGCTTTCTCTAGATCAGCAGTTCCCAACTTATTTTTATATAAAAAAAATACTTAAAATATCATGAAACGATTGCAATGCAAAACTCTAATAATTTTTGACTGATATGCCCACTTGTATGCTGTACAACATATTACAGATGATGGTAAGTTTTATCATCATCTGTAATATGAGTTTTACTATTTTACCTTAAGTTTTACTATTTTTATGGTTTTCATTATCTTATCAAACATTATATCATGATTTCTGTTTGTTCCATTACTGATAAATCAGTCCCCACTGTTTATGAAGCTGCAAATAACTCTTAGCACATGTTTAGGATATCATCAGAGGACTCGATCCAAGATTATGACAATTATACCTCACATCCCAAATCTACATTGGCACATTCATACATCACTAGACTCGACGGATTTAATTGTGGAACCCCAAATTTTATTGTCAGATCCCTAGGGTTCTGCGGAACACAAATTATCAATAGGAACCCGTGCTCTAGATCAATAAACACTGCAAACACTTTTTTGCCCACATTCAAACATTTCTCTAGAATCATTGACATCATGAAGATCTGGTCCATACATCCCTTCCCTTTCATAAATCCACATTGCACTTTCCATATTTGCTTTGCAGTCAGCCTCTCAACTCTGTCAACCGACATTTGTGCAAACACTTTTCCAGATATGCCACAGAACTTCTTGTCTGTCTAATCTGTTCTTTCACTCTTTCCTTTATATATTGGAACAATCACAGCATTTCTTCAATCACATGGCACAGTGCCCCTTATCCTAACATAAGTTGCAGAGTCGGAGCATCCATTCTTCCACATTTTTTCCCCCATATTTTAACATAACTGCAGTCACACCATCCAAGCCAGGAGATTTGTCATTTCATATTCTTCTTATTGCATTAATAATGTTATTAATCCTCAACTAGCATGGTAACATTTTTTTCTTTTAAGTTGGCATGATATGGTCTCAGAGTACTTAGTTTAATATGTGTTTAGGATTGCAACAATCATAATTAAAAGGGTTTATTCAATTTGAAAGATAAGAATATGCATTAGTAAACTAAAAAAATTGAGCTTATTGCTTATATTATTGATTATTGAATTTTGTTCTAATAATGTCATAATTATTAATTTTTTTTACAAAAATTTGTTGTGTTTAATGTCAACATTAATTATAGATTTTATCACTATCATTTAAAGATATTATTAAGTTATTCACATTTATTATTATGTTTAAATAGTATATTATAATTATTTTGTTTTTAATTTTTTTTTTTCAGATAAAAATTGGATATTTGTATAGTCAAATGCTATTTTAGATTTTCTGAAATTGGACGTAGAATCTCACTTGGCATGAGAGTTAAGTTATTCGAACCATCGTTTATTCAAAATAAATAAAATAAAAGACTATTTCTTTATTAAGATTGCTTAAAGAATCTCTAAAAATTTTATTTAGAAGAAAATTATTTCTGTACATTAGTCTTCAATACTTAACTTTATTAATAAAGTTTTAATATATATAAAAAAAAATATAATATGGCAATTGTTTTCAAATATATTAATATGTTGAACTTAAAACTAATATTTAATACTACTAAACAGTTCAATAAAATCTTTGTTATACACCATCCAACTACAGTAGACCCACGGTAATCCGACAAACATTTTGCAAGGTGGTGTCGGATGATCGAATTTGTCGGACTATAGAGTACTGCCACGACCCCTTGTAGTCCGGAACTTTTTTGAAAAGGAGCATCTTTTAATCTGACAAATTACATACTTATAAAAATGGTAAGATCAAATCTATATGTACTACATAATATACGATACGGGACTTAGTGAATTAAACAACACAATAGATAGCGTAGGGTTTATTATAAAATTAACATCATTAACACTATAGCACTTGCAAAAAAATAATAACTAAACATATTGATGTCAATCAATTACATACAACAAATGTAAGTATTTCCAAGGTACATACTATGTATGATCTTAATTTGAAAATAAATAAACAAATAAATTTATGGTGCATGCAAATATTCATCAAATTTCTTTTGTTTTACATTGGCTAAATGCGAGAGTAAGGCCTCGTCTCTCAGTCTCCTCAGAAGTAAAAGTTCATTGTACGATGCGCATTCTCTTGCATACCGAGCTGCATATAGGCATGTCGGGTTATAGGGGGTGCCGAATTACCGCAGGTCTACAGTATCCAGAAAGCACTAATAATTATCATATCCTCATTTGATAATATCTTTAATTCAAACTGTATTAATTGGAAAACTCACTAATTACTATAGTTTCCATTTGAAAAAAATTCAGTATTTGTAGAGTACACTAGAATATTTTTGAATTTTTATTAACTTTATACAAGATGATTTGTAATTAAAATATCTTATTCGTTACCATCTAGAGAGTTACTTAGCAATCCAAATGCAATCAAATTTGGTGCAATGACATTTCAGGACACACAAGGTGTTTCCTTAAAAGAAAATTAATACCAAAATGCACTTTTAGTACTGTACATAATGAAAAGCAGGTTTTATTTGCGAGGACACTTAAAAAGTGTAGTTTTCAAGGACATGTTACAAATTTGATAGCTTGAAAGACAGTATTGCATGCTGTTAAACAGCATCAGAGATGATCATTTATAGTTGGCCGTCAAACACATTGTTCATCACCTTAAATGGAGACTAAATTGGGCTCTAGACTCCATATAGCACAAGTATCTTGTATAAATAAAATATTTACAGTGTGAAAAGTGTCCTAATGACAAGTTTTGGTTTTTTTTTTTTTTTTAAATGTCTCCATACCAAATTTGGACTGCTAAATACCTTTAAACAGCATTGAATCGCTTTAAATAGCATTGTACTTTGTCACAATCACCCGGTATATCAGAAAATTACCTTATGACAATGTTCTATCAACATAATATGATCATTTTATTGTTGGCTTAAATAAACATTTTGGGATTTTTCTCTGGACATCATTATTAACTTTTCATAAGAAACCGAAATTACGATCAATTGAAAATATAAAAAATAAACATGTATGGTTACGAGCCGGGCAAATATTTCCCGTTAGCCAACCGTCTACTAGAGTCCAGGGACCATCTGGACTCTAGTAGACGGTTAGTAGTTACTTCAATAACTACTATTACAAAATATCTTCACTTGTATAAAATCAATGCATTTATTTATAATTTTCCATTCCTCCTTTGGAAATCATATGTAGTTTAAGTCGTACTGTAATTTGTATAATTTATAATCAATCTTTCAATTTAAAATTATCAATTATGCATTTCTCTATCACACATTTAACAATTTTAAAAAGAAAGGAAAGATAGACTTGTGGAAAGATCTTTAGACTTGTGGGCATCTTGTGGTACAAACTATGATAAATTACAGAGCTGCGGATCTGATTCTAAATAGATGTTTACTTGTAGCTAATTGTTTTATTACATCAAAAGGATTTAAAGACTACATAAATTGTTTATAACTCTCTTTTTTATGTAGAAAACATTGATTTAGTATAGAGCATTAGAAACTTTATCGTTTTCCAATAGTGTTATAATGCAAGGAGATCAATTATTTTTTAAATAAGTTTATTAATCGAGATATCTTAAGGTATATTTCGTTTCTTTAACATTAATTTAAATACGATTTAATCTTTATTTTCGGTCCCGGTATTTCAGTAACAATGCATTGTTTATTTTTAATCTAAATAATATAATTTGTGTAAGTAATTCTAATAATTGAAAATTATTATTACAATTAATGATACTTTAATCTAATAAATTAACAATAGGAACAAAATTTTTTTCATATTCTGACTTTATGATGGATAACGAACGGATAAATTCTGATTTTTCAACGCGATTCAAATACGATACTTGGAAGGTATAATACAGTCGACCCCTCTATAACACTGTTGATAATTCCGTTTTATATGAATTCCGTGTTGTACGAGTCACTTAGATTTTACAAATACGTGTGCCGGACTGTGAGCGACTCACGTATTTGTAAAATCTAAGTGACTCGTACAACATGGAATTCATATAAAATGGAATAATCAACAGTGTTATAGGGGGTCGACTGTAATTCTAACTTGTATTAATTCTAGAATAATTATAAATAATAATTTAAAAAATCTCATTTAACGAGGTGTCGGATTCTTATTTTGGTGGTCAAAGTTATCCACTTCCAGAATATCGTCCTTCGTTTAGGGAAAGATACGAGTGGGGAGAGTTGCCTATATTGATAGTATTGAAAGACGAGACAATGGGCTGCTCGATCAGATGGCTGGTAGGTTTATTATTCATTTTAAATTACACGCAACGATTGTTAATTAATTTATTTGCTTAGACACCCGTTGGTAATTTGGACTACGATTATTTTCTTCCGATATTCTTTGATGGCTTGCGAGAAGAATGTCTTCCGTATTCGATAGCGGCCTACATTGGTTTGCAGGAAATGTTAAACGAAGGAGGCAATAAAGTCGTACAGGCTTTACCATTCGTTATACCGTCATTATCCGGTAATTATAATTACCATGTACTGTACTATACAGTCAGCCCCGACTATTATGTCGCCTATGACGTTTACTTCTTTACGTTATTTAATACGAAAACTTTTTCGGTTTATTTTATGTCGACTGACGTTAAATGTTTAATTTGGTAAAATTTCTGTAGAAACTTTATACGGTCAAAACAAAGAAACAATCAGTAAGGCTTTGATTGCGCTTCAACATCTATACGAGAAAACGGGACCGGCATTATGGCCTTATTATAACAAATTTATTCCTATTTTGAATCATCTGAAACTGCAGTCTGGTATGAAAATATTTTAATGATACTTTGAAATTAATATAGAGTGTTTTATTAAATAAATTGATCGTATTTTTTTACAGAATATAAGGAGACCAGAATCCACCCCAGACAGTCGACCAGATCGGCTTTTGATTATCTTGTCTTAGAAACTCTCGCCTTATTAAAATCTTGAAATTATTTTCCATTAATTTGATTTCTTTAATAAAATTCTAAATTAACAACCAAAATTTAGTAGCGTAATTATTCCTTTTATACAAGGCACCTCCCCCTCCTCCACACCGGCAATGTGCCACAGGAACGAAATGAAAACTAAGAACTTATAAACGTCAATAAACTCATCACTGCGTATTCCATCTGCAGGGGAAAAATGAAAGGTTTTAGCTTTTATTATATCCACTTACAGTATACGGATTCGATCTAGTGTTTAATAATCTCCAATCACACGTGTCTGTCGCGTGGCGATGGCTCAGAGTGTCGCGTAGTATTAAATCGTTTAATGAACTGTTCACTATTCTAAATGGGCAAAGATCATTTGGCTAAGAGGGCTTATTTTCTAAAATCATGCCCATCGTGGGTCTGACTACGTCCACAATGGAGGTTACCGGATGGTGAGTCATATTCGTGACTGCCCATTAAAATTACTGTTTCCGACCAGGAACCTCAGATAGAAAACCTAATGTATTCTTTTCCTCCGATTCTGTGTCCTGTTCTCCGGTTTTTGCTTATACAGTAACGTACTGTACTGTATAGTACAAACTGTTTATAATGTATATATCTCTATATATTATATATACGTGTTTTAAAATAATATGGGAAGATACAAACAATATTTTTGTATCTTCCCATATTATTTTAAAACACGTATATATTATATATACGTGTTTTAAAATAATATGGGAAGATACAAACAAAAATATTGTTTGTATCTTCCCATATTATTTTAAAACACGTAGTGTCAATGGAAATTTAATACAATTGAATAATATGGTTTTCGATCCAGCAATCGTCAGAAAAAAACCAGTCGGTGCCGACCCACAGAGCAATCGTAACGGTTGCTGTTGTCACGACAACCGCCGTTCACCGTTAAAACCATAGTGCTTTGAGTTCAGATTAATTCTATTATAATGCATTAGACAACTTAAAAATTGCCAAATATATCAATGTTTAGTGTAAAGTTTAAAAGTAACGATATTTTGATGCTCGTTTCATAGCAGTATGCATTTTACTGTTAATATTTTTTCTTTAGTTTTTTTTAAATTAATAACTTAATTCATAAAAGAAAATTTAAAACATCCTCTAAGTATAATCTTATTTTCTTTCGTGTGAAATGTCCGAGATAAAGTTTGTACGTAACGTCGGTCTGTCCGAATAACTTCCCGTTGTCGTTAGAAATAAAAAATTAAGGTTATTCGGTTGATTTTAAAGCGTTAATAAAAGGAAAATAATATATCTATACAAAAGACTCTACAAATAAAATCATAAAAGTTCAGTAAACAAGTTCTAAGCAATACAACTTCAGTATTCTGGTTGATTTGTCGGGAACGATTACATCTTTTTTTAAAGATTCACTACAGATGACGCAGGGTTTCTCACATTTCCTTCCATCTCAACAATTCACTCCAGCCTCGTATCTAAAATATTTCTTTCTTAAATCTCGGCCAATCAGAGAATCCGTCTATCTATCGACCCGTAAAAACAAACATGTGACTGCCTGAGCTCAATTCTTCCTTTCAAACATTGTATTTCTCCAATCAGAGCAGCGCTTGTCTATTGTGAAGCTTACTTTCACGTCCGCTTCGTTCCAACCTATCCCGTTCTTCCTTTCAAAGATTGTATTCCCACCAATCAGAACAGCGCTTGTCTATTGTTGAAGCTTACTTTCACGTCCGCCTCGTTCGACTCTGTCCCACGTGTTTCCTTTGTGATTTCGTCCAACGCTAAGGGCAATAAATCTTGTTTTCTCTTATCTCATTCGTGCACCTGGAAGTAATTTCTACACAAAAGAAGTTCTATGAATAAACTGGCATTTGAAGAGTAAAAGTAACATAAAAACAGATAATATAGCAGCGTTACGTTTATTCTTTTGTTAAACTGTATGTAATAATTATCGTAGTCGAAACTGAACTTTGCACTGTTTTGAGTATACTACAATATAATTAATTAAATTAATATTAATACTTTTAAAAATTATTCCGACACAAATCACGTTTTTTGCCATAGATCAAAATCTATAATTGTTACGACGAGTTTGACTTGGCTGTTATAGAAGGTACACGACAGCTGGGCCACAAAAACAAAAATTTTTGCACGTTAACAAGCATACTATTTCAAGGATATATATTTTTTTTTGTGTGTAAATATTGGTAAAAAATATATAAATATATACACGATTAAGACTTACGAAGTATGAGCTATATATTATGAACTTATTTCCGATTTAGAGAAAGGAAATGTTTCGGAACAACGTGTTGTAGCGAGGTTAATTATTGTTCAGAAGGGATTAATAACAAATATTTTAATTTTTATTTTGTCATCCGTAAGAAAAGTTTTCTGTGATAAAAATGAATAACTAATTTAAAAATAAAATGAAACCTTAGAATTCTATTGGGAGATTCAAAAAAGGGCAACCCGACGACAAAGGGAAGGCATACGGCTGTAACGAATGTTTATAATTGAACTCGATAATAATCGAGTTAACCGTTCATCTTAAGTAATTATTTATGAAAAGTTATATAGTGTTAGAATTGATTTTGGGATAATACTTATTCCAGGTTATTACTTATTTCCATGAAGTTACATTAGAATTATCTAAAATAGTGCTTCTCAAACTGTTTTCACTGACCAGTTTTCTTTTATTCCAATCTCTAGTGAATCAATCTTTTTATAAAATTAAATTTAAAAATATTTATAAAACAGAAGTCAAATTCATTTTTTTAATAAAGTATATCACTAATATCATATTTCATATTCATATTATGGATCAATCTAAGAAATGAAACTCATTTTCCGTCAGAGAGAGGGGGGGGGAAACGGAAAACAATCGGCGAAGTAATTATAAATGATATACAGATATTTGGGTAACGAATTGTGCAAATTTGAATGATTATTTAATTAAACGTTTCATTAAATTTTTAAGAATAACACCGTGCTTCGTATTATACATTGGAAAATGTATACAGTATTTAAGACCCTAATTAGTATTCAATTCGACCCGATAATGACTTTAATTAATGAAAGAATTTTACCATAACAATACATTACATAGACGAATATTTTATATTTATTATTAACAGAAATTTGTAAACAAAAACATGTTTTTTTTCATTCAATTTCAAATAAATTAGCGCAATCTTAGAGAAGTTTTATACTGTAATATCAACCAAGTCATAGGGAAATCAAGGAAACTTTCTAACAGTAAATATTCTTGAATTTATTTCGGAACTATGATTTTAAGTTAAAATCTAGCAAATTTTGATAGAAATATCTTGTAATTTTTAAAAAATTATCACGTATTTCTTGATTTAAATTAAATTATTAAGCTGCTTAATATTAAAGATGCCAACTGGAAGTATGAATCATGTTTAGATAACACGTGAACTTAGAGGTTGCACGGATGCTTGGTGTCCGCTAACAGAAAGCGTTGAGGATGACATTATTTCCTCTCTCGTTTTGTTTTCAAATACAATAAACTAATGACGAATTCGGATGGCTGCTCTGCCGAACAGCGGGAGTGGATTAATCACAACATTCCTTCTAAAAGAGATTAATCGACTAATCACAGTAGGCGATGGATACAAACAATTGCTCTACACTGACCAATAATAGGAAGGAGCGAGCAGAATATTCTATGAGAGATCAATAACAGACAAAATACAAAATTTTTTATTGTTTTCTTTACTAAAATTATCGTTGTTTTCTATTGAAATGAGTTAAACGAGTAAAAAAAAGATTTTGTAATTAACAAACATATTTATCCATCTTACATTATTTATTTTTACAAGTAAATAGAAAAGTCCCGAAGGACAATTGATATCTACCTCCCAAAATTTAACAAATATACATAAAAATAAAGATAACAATTATATAAAATTAAAAATATATTATCCTACATTATACATTAAAACAAAGTATAAACGTTGTTCGAAATAATTTCTTTTCGAAGAATTACTTTTCTTTGATGTGCTTTGTTAACCGAAAGTTTGTTCTAGCGGTGTTGATTGTTCGGTCGAGTACTGAAGTACAATACAACTGTAATTAACGCGATTTCAGATAAACGGATTTCAGATAAACATCGAGGGATTAATTGACTGTATATTTCATATAATGTACTGTACAATACATGTTTTGGTAGAAATTACCTAAAATAAAAGGTAAATATTTCGAATTCATTTACGGTTCAGTTTAATATACAAAGAAGCTAACAGAATAATTATATTGTAGTCTAATAAAATTCGTATTTTTAGTATAGATTATGAGTTACTTATTACTATGGCATATTGGTATAAAAGACATCCTTTATTTTCTTACGTATCCGTAAAATTTTGTTTTCTAAATATTTTATTCTGTTTTAAAATGTGTCATTATAGTTCTTTGTTTACACGTGTTTATCTTTCATAGAGTAGTAAAGTATTTTAGTCTATTCACACGCTTCCCTAGAGACCTCTCATTGGTCTATTTAATAACCAATAGCAGTTTGGATTGTAGACTCCCAATCCTTACTGTTATTGGCTGATTCTAAACCAATGAAATCATCCGAAAGCAAATTAGCGAATCAAGGCGCAGTATTTGAAAGTTCAATCCTTCAGTTTTGTATAAATAGGATCCGAACAGTGGTAAGTCCATCTTTATTTTCGGATACGAGTAGCGAGTTAAGATGCCGCCTGCACCGAGTGGTAAAGCTGTTAAGAAAGCCGGGAAAGCTCAGAAGAATGTTCGTGCTGGAGATAAGAAGAAAAAGAAGAAGAGGAGGAAGGAAAGTTTCAGTATTTATATCTACAAAGTTTTGAAGCAAGTCCATCCGGATACTGGAATTTCTAGCAAAGCTATGTCTATAATGAATAGTTTTGTCAACGATATCTTTGAAAGAATTGCCGCAGAATCCTCTCGTCTCGCACATTACAACAAACGATCGACTATTACTAGTCGAGAAATTCAAACGGCCGTTCGTCTGTTGTTGCCAGGAGAATTGGCAAAACACGCGGTTTCAGAAGGTACTAAAGCCGTTACAAAGTATACCAGCTCCAAGTAATTCTTCGATGAATACATCAAAACGGCCCTTTTCAGGGCCAACATATATTGGTAAAGAGTAGCCTGATCTATCTAAATAGGAGTTTAATAAGACATGGTACGAAACCTACGAGCAAAAATGATCTATATATTTTTAAGGTAAGCAATTTCCCCGAAATTATAGCATACAAGAATATCAATTATTTTTAAAGTTTGAGAGAGAAATCTAACAATGTAATTTTTCTCTCACAATTTACTTTCAATTTGAGGGTAGATGTTAATTGATGAAAAAATGCTAACAAAGAACAAAAATAATAGATAATACCATTTGATTTTAAGTTATTTATCCTAATTTTGATTGCCAAGCAAAATTCAATTTCTGAAACTTTCCTGTTTGTTAATAAACTTTTTTTCTAACTTTATGTGTATAGTAAATCAAGTGATTGTTTTATTTTGTTAATATGCCACAATATAAGGGTCAGGGTAAGTTGTGGAATTTAAAACAAAAATTTGAGTAGGAACTCTAAACAAGTTACTGAACTGATATTCTGATATTTTCTCAATTTTTAAAGTGCTTCTCAACTTTATAATTAGTGTTCTACAGCCTCAGGATACAGTACTTCTATTACACAAAGCATTAGTACCAATATATTCAAAAATTTATAAGCAATTCCATGTTTACTTTCTCAGGAAAGAATGAAGCAATAAGCTAATAAACTTTAATATATTGAATTAAAAAAAAACATTGAATTGTCTATATGAATATAGCAATGGGAATAAATTTGAATAAAAAAAACTTTAAAATTTTTTCTTTCTTGGAACACTTGATGTAGGTTTGCAGAAAACTGGTTAATTATGAACCACTGATTTAAAGACACTACTGAAACTAGTCTTAACAGAAAACTTTACTAATGACTAGACATTATTATGTGTGGTTGAATCTACCAAAATGTATATCTTGTGGATCGAAATGGTTTAAAAAGATGGCCCTTTTTTCAATTTTGAAAGTTTTTTCTGGGTTTATAACCGATTGTCTTCATGATACATTTACAAAACCACAAATTAAACTAACCGGCGAGTGTAATACATAAATCAGTCAAGATATTGACATCATTAGCTCTTTATAATGCATTGGAAAAATTCAGTTTACTGTTTCTTGATTTTCAGTTTAGACTAAAAGAACTTTGTATTAATTGGGAATGGAAAATGAGCCAATTAAGTATGAATTAAAATAAGGATGGATGATTGTAATAATTTATTGGTGGGTTTATATCAGAAGTCTGATGTATGTTTGTTTTATAAATCAGCTTCCCAGTCTGGATCAGTATGCTGCTTAAAGGTTGCTCTGTTTCATATCAAAGACAGTCTACTTTTAAGCAATAAAAACTGTTACACCTTAAAAACACACCTTACTGGCAGCATTGCTAGGTTGTAAAGAAATTAATTTGTGAATAAAGTTATGAAAAATCTTGATTTTTGAGAGATTTTTGACAAAAATCACAAAAAATCCTTTTTATTGAACAATTCATTTTTGACAAAAATCACAAAAAATCCTTTTTATTGAACAATTCATTTATTGCATGTTTTAAGTTTATAAAAAATTGTACAGGTATTAATAATTGTCTAATTGTAAATTGATCTATTTACTTTTTGTATCATATCTGAAGTAATAGGAAAATAATAGTAATAGTTTCTATTGTTGTTTGGAACTATTGTACTGTAATTCCTTATTCAAAATTTAATCTTTTGAAAATTTGAAAAATCAATTTCTTTGAGCCAATCATTCATCTTCAAGTTTCTGAATTAAATCTGGATCTAATAAATTGAGGAATAATAATCAATTTTTTCAATGAATTTGGTTTTTCTAGTAACTATTTGAGGATCTAAAAATTGGAGATCTTCCTTTTAAAAAAGATCAGTATTTGAAATATGGACAATATTCAATGTAAAACTTTCGTACTAAAATTTTAATGATTTAGCTTGACTAAGATTTTGTAAAAAAGTAAACATTTCAGGAATTAACTTCTGCAGAAAAATACATATCAATAATTATAAAAATATTTTGAAGATTTTTAATCAACTTTGCAAATTCATTTGGATATTATTGTGTTAGCTTTTAGTAATCCATGATGGTTTTTACCGTTAGTTATTTCTTTATTATATGAATTTTATCTTGTTTTCACCTTTCAAATGTTTGGTTGCTTTATCATGTTTGTATAATTTCCTTTATCTTTGTAATCATAATATGCTTTGCACCTGAAACATACATATTTTAGGTGTGCAAATACCAATAAACCAATACACTTGATTATCTTACCTAGCAAAAGATAGTCCTTTCTTGCTACTTTGCCTATTTTAATTCTTCATGCCATTCTCATTTGAAATATTGGACATATTTCTCTTTTAGTTATAGACATTGCAGTACTAACAACTAATAACAACTAACAACTAACTGTCTGACAAATTGAAATGATATACAAAGCAATTCCTTAAAATTGTGATTTTGGGCAGAGATCACTAGTGTCTTTAATGAGAACAATGTATTATTTAAGAATACTAAGAAATCATACAGAAGGATACAATAAAATAACATACAGTAAATGTTTTGGATAAACTACTGAGAAATGATTTTCAAAATGATAAACAAACCTATTAAATTTGAAGAATAGAATGCACCAATTAACATCAATATTTATAAAATTTCAAAATCAGTATGTATGATTTGCTTAATAATTGACATCTTTTTTAAATTATTTTTTATACTACTATATTTTTAATAGTATAACTGTTCTTTGCAAGAACTAAAACTAGTTTACTACACGGCATTCTTAATTTTGGTATAAAATTTTTTTCAACAATATTTAGAAAAACAAGATATTAAAGTAAATGTTATCTTTATTTGAAATTAAATGCATTTCATCATATATATTTAATCTGAATCTACAAATTTATACTTTTTATTTTTCAGATTTCCAAAGAATGTAGGAAAATTGGATTTGATACTGTTAAGAATTTTTACAATATATAGCATTACTTGTCAGAATATTTTTATCTAAAAATATTGCCATTTTATAATTTTATTTTTCTTCTACTTCCAGAATTTTTATTTTAGTATTGAAGACCGTTTTAAACTTTTCTGTATATTTGATAAATATTTAATGTGAAATAAAAATTGTTTTATGCACTTAAATTTTTTGAAGTGATAAATTAACATGTATTATTAAGTAAGAATTCTGGTGTAAAAATATTTAACAATTAGATTAGGACATTTTCTATTTCAAGATGGTTTAATGAATTTTTAAATTGTCATTGTAATAGACTAAAGATTTTTTTGTATTTAACAAATGTATTGTTCTTTGGAAAATTGTTTTTTTCATTTCCAAACAAATCATCTGTGTTCATAATTTATGAACTAATTTGAAAAAGGAAGTATCAGCTACAAAGATTATTTTCAATCTTATTACACCAACTAAGGTTTGCTGAGAGAAAGTAAGTTGAAAACATTGTTTAATAAGAGACTGTACCTAATGTCTACCTCATAGTATAAAATTATTTAGGATTTAATTAAAAATATCAGTAAAGTAGCCCAGTTTAATCTGGCAGTCACTTGGCATATTTGTTAAACAATTAAGCCCTAATTAGTGTCCTAAAATTAAAAATCATTTCAAAAATAGAACATTGCGTAAGTTTAAATGTAAAATTTGAAAATACAGCTTTAAAACTGTTTTAAAATATTTGAATTTAAATTATAATCATAATAAGGTTAACAAAATAAAAATGATTTTACTTTCATGTTATACTTTAAAGTTGACTGTAGAAAGACATCGAGGGTTTGTGTGTCTGAATCTATTTTCTATGACATATTAGCTAGGTTGTGGTCAAAGTTTTCAATGTGAAACGTGAACATCTGATGTTCGGCACCGCCTTCTTGTAATCCTAGAAGTTTGACAATGGTGTTTAGAACATCTAGCATGATTCCACTGACGTTCCAAACACTGTTGTCAAAGCCTCAACCTCACTATTTTCATGCCAAAGGTAATGTATTTGCATCTCTGGCATTGTTGTTAAATTTTGCTCTTGTTTATATCTATATTTTCCATGTCCATAGCTGTGTACAGGGTCTGATTTTGTATATAAGTATATCAAGTAGGAAAAAAAGGCCTACACAAGTAAAGTACAGTACATCTCAAACAAACTAGAGGACAATATAAATATTGTACAAAATTTAAGTAAAGTTGCAAGAGAAATGGAAGGCTTAAATTTGATGAAATAAAAATTTTCAAAGCCCGTTACAATTCTTGCATGTTCAATAACTGCATCAAAGCATGATTCTAATTTAATGAAGTCATGGTCCAATATAAACATGAATTAGCAGCTTATCCAAATGAAATTAATGAGTTAGCCATATTTGCTATCAATTGTTTTTTGGGTTCAATGGCAAGTTTTACAAACAAAAAGGGGTTGAATGGGAAGTCCTCTGAAGACTTATGCAAACTGGTATTATACAAGCTTGAGAAAGATATATTTCCTGATTTCACAGAAGACATCATTCACATATCTTTTATAGAATATAATGTGTTTGTAGTTTAGAGGAATAAATGAAGAGTTTAGGAAATTTTGATTATGATCAACGATAATAAGGATGATTTGAATATAAAATCAAACAAGAGAACTCTAGTTGTCTTCACTTCTTAGAGTTTGATATCTCATTTTAAGCAAGGAGGTATATAATAAGTTAGTTTAATATATACAATACAATCAAAACTCCTCTATACATCCAATCGTGGTCCAATGACTTACAAATATAAACTTTTAGCATTCAAAGCATTTATTAGATCCTTTTGTATTGCTCAAATATACAGGACCAATTAAAATAAATCAATAGAATTAAAGAAATTGCAGCAATATGATCACAATCAGGAGTTATGAAGAAAAAGATAACTCTTCTATTGATATATTTTAAATTTATATACAGTGGTACCTCAGGTTACGAACGCCCCAGCATACGAAATTTTCAGGATACGACATGAAATTTGAACATATTTTTGCTCCACGATACGAACAAAAACTCACCATACGACGTTACATTAGTTCGCATTTTTCATTTGTTTTTCTTACTACAGTTATTTTTTTAAATGTATTACTTGGCTTT